GAAGATATTTAACCTACATGATGCATTTGGATCCTACCTACTCTTGTGAATAATATGAAATATGGAAATTTTAAACTGTACAGAAGATATTTAACCTACATGATGCATTTGGATCCTACCTACTTTTCTGTTTACCAGTTGGCATATGCAGTGCATTACACATTGACTAAGAGGAAAATGTTGTGTTCATCAGTATGCAAAAGTTATATATTAAATCCATATAAAATATACCTATAGTCAGTCCAGATAGAAACGTTTTACAGTTCTTATTAAGTCCATGACAATATCTCTTTAAAAACCAGCAAAATGACTCGATCCACTTTTTGAGTTATTCCTTCTGAAATGTCAATAAATGCTTCAGTTTATCAGACAATCATTTCTTACTAACCACAGCGACAGCAGGCGAGACACAGGGTTGCGGGCAACCCTTACGTACTTTTTTGGAGCAGTTTTCTTTTTAATTACTTCTGTGTCCTATACTGATTAGACATGCATGGAAGATGGTTTTAGTGTGTTTTATTGTACCAGACAAAGTTTCAGATGCTGCAATTTCAGCAAAGGAATTACCAGGTTAATGTTTTTGGAGCAGGTTAACATTATTGGTGCAGTTTTTGGTGTGGGTTTCATTTCCAAGTAACTTTAAGCCCTATGTTGACCAAACTTGCATGGATGATACATCTACGGATGCATACTACTTGGCTTGCTTCGGATGCTGAATCTGACCTACATTTTCCAGTTGAGTGAACAGGTTAAAGTTTTTGGTGCTGGTTTCATTTCCAAGTAACTATAAGCCCTATGTTGACCAAACTTGCATGGATGATACATCTAAGGATGCATACCACCGGGCTTGCTTCGGATGCTGAATCTGACCTACATTTTCCAGTTGAGCGAACAGGTTAATGTTTTTGGTGCAGGTTTCATTTGCAAGTAACTTTAAGCCCTATGTTGACCAAACTTGCATGGATGAAACATCTAAGGATGCACACTACCAGGCTTGCTTCGGATGCTGAATCTGACCTACATTTTCCGGTTGAGTGAATAGTTAAAAGTTTTTGGTGCAGATTTCATTTCCAAGGAACTATGAGTTCTTTAATGACCAGTCTTGCATAGATGATACATCTAAGGATGCATACTTCTAGGCTTGCTTCGGATGCTGAATCTGACCTACTTTTTGTGGATGAGTGAAAATGTTAGTTTTGATGCATGTTTCATTTCCAATAAACTATGAGCCCTATAATGAGCAAACTTGCATGGATGATACATCTAAGGATGCACACTAATGGACTTGCTTCGGATGCTGAATTGGACATACATTTTTCGGATAATAGACAAGGTAAAAGTTATGGTTGCAGGTCTATTACCAAAAACTATAAGGCTTATATAACATTGTATAAACCAAATTTGCACAAATGCTGCATCAAGAGATGAAAACTCTCAAATTTGCTTCAGATGCTGGATTTTCATTACATTTTCATGAAGAAGAAGTAGTTTAAATTTTTTATGTAGGTCTATTTCAAAGTATCAGATCAAAATTGCTTTTAAAAATATTTTCATTTTTGGAATGTATACTTTTTGTTGGTTAATTGTGTGACTTTGCCTTACTTAAAGACAACATTCGTTGAGGTGAGCTCTGTAATCTCTGATAACCTATGTTTAAGAAATGGGTTAAAATAGAATTCTCGGGTGTTTTGTCCTACCCTAATAATAGATTAGGAATCCGGACAAACTCACATATTGGATGGTCGTTAAAAAGTTTAAAACAATTCGTCTATATATACGATATTACAAGCCCTGTCTGTTGAGCTTGATCATGTGGTGTTCGCGCGGGTCTTTTATTCTATGTTTAGACAAACGTTTGGCATAATATTTGATATACCGTGGTATTTCCAAGTGAAATTCTGTCCAATATCAGTAGAAAATGCACGGTGTATACTTTAATTTGAATTACAGTGGAGTGCATAATTGAACGTTTTATAAAGTTAAGTATATTTCCAAATATACAAATAAAACATATGGAGATAACGAACAGTATTCAGGACCAAAAGTCCATAAAACAATACAACATAGGAGCAGAGCAAGCACGAACCTCCAAAAACATCAGAGTGAATAAAGTGTTGAAAACATCAGAGTCATCACTTGATCAGGTGCCATGGAGGAGTGAGCATTCCCTGCCGAGCGGTCACACCCGCCGTGTGCTCCTTGTCAGGATCGGGAAATAACGACAAAATCCACCGTCAATTCAGTGTATAAATAATGGACTAACAATTAGTATGAAAGGCATCAGTCAGCATTTGACTCAATGATAAATTGTATACTGACACGCAAAAGAAACGCAACAAGTAGTAATCTACAAATGTTTGTTTTTTTATCTGAGGAAGAATAAAGTAAGGCTAAACTCACTTTTCAGAACATCAGAGATTTGATAAAAATGTTAAATCTTTGTCTGTTTACTTTACTAAGTAAAATATGACTGTTAAAACACCCCCCTCCTAGCCATTTAAGTAAAACGTGCAAGACTGCCCTAAACAACAATTGCAGCTTAATTTCTACGATACAATATGTTCAATGACATTAATATCGAGATCTGAGCGAAGGAATTTTTCTTTGGCATTTTTAAATGCCCGTTATTCAGATGATGAGGTCGAATTTTCTCTAACTTAGAGCAGTGTAGCCACCCTTGGACTTCCGGTACAAGGACTGTCCTTACTGCATATGATACGCAAGACCCTGTTGAGGCGTAATGTAGTGAAATTTCGCATCAGCAATTCTCCATCACCTTTACATTGAAATTTTACAGCCAGAGCAATGGAAATGCGTACATAAGCCATTTTCAAGTAGCCTTAGCATCGTTACGGGAAACGAAAGGAGAGTTTATTTTTTGAAGTATTGCTGCATTACTAATGATGAACAGTAAAAAACCCTTAAGACTCCATAATAATTCCAAATGTATTGTTAAACATGCAATTTTTGATTTCTGTTAAGCAGACTAAATCTTGACTTCCGGTTATGGTTTGGAAATCATTCAACCGTTAAATTACCGATTTTTACCAAATTGAAGATATTCATAATTTTAAGATACAAAATTTTTTACTTTACATAACTATTTCCCCCTAAAGAAGGGTGTTGCGTTTCTTTTGCATGTCAGTATATTTGCTGACAAGGTTGTTGTATCGACCATAGAACTTTTGAAATGATATGACTTTAAACGAGACTGCCGATATTCTTTTTTCATCTAGTTGTTTGTCAATAATTTACCTCTTTTCAAAAATTGTTCATACGTAGAGCATACGTATCGAATCAACTGATCATGAGATACATAAACTCCGTATGCAGGTGATGAAGGTATATTGCTGCATAAGTAAGGGAAGTTGACGATAGAAAATTTAAGTCATCACGTTTATCATAGAGCTTGGTTGTTAGATTGCCATTAATGTCTTTTTCAAGTTAGATATCCAAATATGAAACAGATGTGTCAGACTCTACGGTATCTTTTATCTTAATCTCGCCAGGATATATCGTATCGACATAAGAATGGAAATCTCGATTGTTAATTGACAATACGTCGTTGATATATCTAAATGTTGAGTTGAAGGCCAGAGCAAGTGTTTTCTTCTTTTCACTCATAAGATTTTGCACAAATTCCGCTTCATATGAATACAAAAATAGGTCTGCTAATAACGTTGCGCAATTGGTACCCATGGGAATTCCAATAAATTGTTGGAAGACCTGGTTTTCAAAAACAATATAGATATTAATCAAAAACCCAAGTATCTTTTTGATGTCGACTTCAGAGTACTTATGTGTAAAATCAGAATGTTTTTTAAGAAAATAATTTTGCTAATGACCAATGACAAGGTTAGTAAATACGAGTTCCATTTTCATTGAAATAGCAGGTGTCAATGATATCGAAAAGCATGGACTTTAATTTCTCGTAAGGGATGTTTGTGTATAAAGTTGAGAAGTCGTAAGTTTTTAGGCTGTTGACTTTGGTAAAATCTTGTGATTTCAAAATGTCCAAAAGTTCCTAGGAATTTTTAAGTATCCACATCTGATTTACAACACTTCTTGAAAATATTGTAGCACAGTACTCTTGAAGTTTCTCCTTCACTACTTAGTGAGGAGTAAAGAAAGAGGCTTGCTTGAACATTTACGGGAACCCTCTATGTATCTTTTTGTTTGCAAATTGAAGCTTCAGGAACAGATGCATGGGTCGAGTGAGATTCGTTTTGCGACACACGTGGTGGGGGAGCCTTTGCTGGTCAACTTCGATGATAAAAATGAAAGTTTAACATTCACTGTATTCTGCAGTTGGAAGAATCTCAGTGTACGATAAATCTAGGAACTTTTAAGGTTTTTGTCACCCCTAATTCACTGAACCAAAAGTGACTTGGGGTCACAGTTCAGATTACCTTTCTTACAAAGCCTAGACATTAGTACATGTATAAACGACTTTAAGATTTTGTACAAATTTGGGTTGTTTGATGTGAAATGATCCAATCATATTAGCTTAAAAAAAATGTTTTGCGAATAAAGCTAAACACTTGCACAAGTAAAAAAAATGTTTTGTTTTCAAGAATTTCAACCTTTTTTTGGCAATATAACCTTAAACAGTGAACGGACTTTATCTATTCTTGAGCTCTACCGTTCTTTGTTTCTTTATCGGTATCTTGTGGACAATTGCGCTGCTCCATGTGGAAGAGGTATTTTGCCAACTTGAGCTTCTCCTTAAATGTCATCATTCTTTATAATTATATCATTATCATGAACATATTTCTCCTTCGATTAAAATTTTTTACAAAATATAGATCGCCTCTTATTCCTTTTTTAATAGCAAAATGTAACGAGATGTTCCAAGTTTTTCAAATTGCACATTTCCATGGTTTTTTATTATTATTATCATTATTTTATCTTAATGTCTTTTATTTTAGTTTTAATTACCGATATGTTTAAAGGCCGTATTATTTTAAAAGATATTGATTTTAAAATCATATTTAAAGCTAGTCCAGTTTTTAGAGCACGCCATAAGAGTAATGGAATGTTTTCCCACACTTGCGACCCTGCAAAGTTGAATAGACACAAAATATTTTGCTATCCAAGCAGTTCGCTTTAATATACAGAAGAGAAAGACAAACATGGCCACAGTATTTGTAGCGATAGACGATAGTAAATTTGCAGAAAACGCCTTCAAATGTAAGTACACATTAATTAGATTTTTTGTTTGTTTTAAAATCGCGTTAAATGCATATGAATGATGTAGTAAGTCACCTGTATTTGGGGTTACAGGTAAAATGTTCACCAGACCATGAGAAAGATAGCGAAAGGTTAACAGGTCGACAACCTCATTGTAGAATAGAAATGTTTGACTATGAAAAAATTCAATCTACCCGTACATAAGAGTTATACAAACAGCACGAGTATGAACTTTTTTGAAGACGTAGTTAACATGCATCACTCATAAGATCGTAAAGATGTGGCACACATGCACTTAATTTTGTGCAATTTATTACGAATCTTTGGGTTATATACCTAAACATCTGCGTATTTGTAAACAGTCTTAAGTAAAACGTATTCAAGTCAGAAGCAAGGCAGAAATCAACATTGGCAATATATAATACTATCATTGATAAATACCCTTGATATCTCGCTCCAAAGAATTTTTGTAAATATAGCTATATTTTTGAATGATGCTTATGCGTTATTTTTAAGCTTGAGAAGAAGCTAAGTGTTTATCATATGTAATTTATCAGATTGTAATTACACTACATGTATAAAAACGTGTTGTTCGACATACACACATCTTCGCTAGCCAAGAGTTTCTGTTACGCTACTCTCCTCATGATTATGAGGAGAGTAGCGTATCAGAAACCCTTGGCCAGCGAAGATGACATACACATATATAGTTTGAACATCACTAAAATTCACATTCTGGCCTAATTTTGGTTTATATGTGTTATTTACTTAATTCCCCCAACGGATTTGTTATTGTTTGTTTGTGGTGGTTTTTTTTTTTTATTTTTTTATTTTTTTTTTGTGAAAAATCTTTTTGAAATAAACTTAATTATATACAAATAGTAACTGTTTTGCTTTGATTGTTATGTCTGTCTTTTACATTGGATATATTTTAATTAAGTATCAAGAATTATATATGCGAAATTCTTCTTTTTAATTTACACTGAATCTTATAAGTTTAAATGCAGATGGAGTATTTTCTGCACAGCTCTCAATTTTCTTAGAAACATTGTAGTTTGTATGAATGCATTTTGGATACAAATTTGAATACATTTCAGGTTACGCAGAAAACTTCCATCGGCCAGGGAACAAAGTGGTGCTGTTACACGTAGTGGAGAATCTTATTGACTACAGGGACATGAGTATGTGTCCGCTGTATAGACTCTCATTTGTTTTGGATAAGAATTTTAAATTTTTTTGAAGATGATTGATTGACAAAAAAACTTTATAACTGAAATTATACGGAAAATAAGATATTGATACAATTTTTCATTAAATAATATTTAATCTTGTAGATACTTGACCTTTATCAGCTAAAAAAAATCCACATTCAAAATTTTGAAATATCCCCAAGATATTAAATTGTTTGAACCCTTAATATTAAGAAGTGGGAAAAAATAAAGTTATACTGCAAGAAATGCATCAGGTACAAGGCCGGAAATTATATATTATTTTCAGGCCCCGGGCGTATTATTGAGCTACAAGCTGAAGCCAAAAAAGAAGCACAGACCTTAAAGGAAAAATTCGCAGCAATTGCAAAACAACTTGGGGTAAGAATAAATTGAGATTTAAAAACCATGCTATATAGAGCAACGAAATATCTGTTTAATTTTTAAAAAGATGAACATAAAACCTTAAAAGCGAATATTTAATGAGGAATTATTGTGACTCAGGTGGAAGCGGAAATACGAGTGGAGATGGCGGAAAAACCAGCGCACGCAATTGTGGAAATGGCAAATAAAGAAAAGGCGACATTTATAGTAACCGGAAGTAGAGGAATGGGAGTTGTACGACGAACCATTCTCGGCAGTACGAGCGACTTCATTCTTCACCACGCCAAGTGCCCAGTTTTTATTTACAAAATGGAAAACAAAAACATGTAATTTACATTTTGAAAGTCTTTTCTACTTGCAAACTTGCAACAATTTTTCTAGAATTTTTGTTCATTTCAAAGAGGTAAAGCATTATTTTGTAATACTCGGACTCCAGTACATAAATGGTGTCTTTTATTATTTTCAATCTAAAGTTGAAAGTGCATGATAAATTTGTCATGTAATCATTTTCAACTTTAAATTGAAAATTTAAAATAAAAGAAAAATATAATACATCTTTTTGTATTGACTCAAACTATATATCAGGGTAAAACTGTGACGTGCATTCAATACTTAACTAACCAGTAAACAAGCAAGAAAAAGACGTCCCCCTTTTGGGGTGCTAATTTTAAGTAGTATCTACTCGTTTTTACCCCCCCCCCCCCCAACTTCCATGGATCTGATTTGATTTTAAAAATTTGCGCCAAGTCTGTATTTCTATCTGTTAGTATTTGTATAAATTTATAATTATTCTAACTCTAGAAAAAAAATATCACTCCTCTGTTGTTGTCTTTATTTTGGTGTATATTTTTAAAACTGTATTTATAATAAATGATATTAGAGAATATGCCTTGTCACAACTCACAGATTTGTATGAGTGGTAGCTGACTGAGATTTACAATAAGTACCTCTGCTGTTAACCCTTGTTTTATCTGTGCCTTATTCATTTGATTGTTTTATACCTAAAGTTATTATATCTAATTATTACATTCAGATTCATGTACATCATATTTATAGAAAGACCAGGTTTAATATATTTTGAAATGCTTGATATTAACAAATATACACGTTTGACGCAAGATGTCTTTTATTTTTATATATCATGTATATTTTATAGTATATATTTTTCACCTTGTTTTGAATATCACTCCTTCGACATATCTTGTATTCGTACTGTATATTCACGTGATTAAAAATAAAATGCATTTATTAAGAAGTTCACAGTCTTTCTCTAATATAAATTTAAGTTATTTTAGTTTCGAAGAAATACTATATAAATATAGCCCTTTGATAAGGTCGATCCATAGATTTATCGACTTCACAGAAAAGCATATCGACCGAGCACGAAGTGCGAGATCGATAATTATGCTTTTTTGTGAAGTCGACATATCTATGGTTTGATCGAATTAAAGGGCTGCATTTGTTATATACATGTATTATTTTTTTTCATAGATCGACAAAACAAAATTTGAAACCAATGGAAACAAGCTTAAGGCACAAGTTTTCTCTCTATAACTCTTAGAGACTAGAGATCAAAATGAATTAAGCTGTTAAATGTTAGTTTAAATGTGTTTCCTTTATATTGATGGCGTATAGTTTAGAGGATTTACTTATAATTCACATGAAAAAATATACTCCAAGTTGTGGTAGATATATATTTTTTTAAATCAAGTCAAACTCTGTATTAGCTATAATTGTGAAATCAGTACTATTTTTGTTTTACAAAAAATAATCTCCATTTTATCAAGTCGATATTCATTTCAGATTCTATAAAAAAGTAACTCAAGTCTTTATGCTGTTATATATACTTAATCATGTGATCAAGATTGAGCCAATCAGAGAGCTTGGAATAAATGATGAAAATAATATAATTGTGATACGTGATTTTTGTAAATACATGCGCGGATCTAGAGGGCGTTGGTGTGGGTCGGGTGCCCGGACAACCCCCTTCCCCCGGAATTTGCACAAAATAGGTTTTGAACCTTTGGGAAATGTGCTAAGGTTTTTTTTATCATTGTCAAGAAATTTCTGGGTTAATTTTTTTTGACTGGGATGGACCCCGCTGTCCCACCTTCCCCTGAAAAAATTCCTGTATCTGAGCCATAGGCATTTGTTTCGAAATAATTTTTTAAACCATAGTATAATAAAATATCATTATACATGTACTATGGGTTAAAAAATTATTTCCGAAACAAGTGCCTGTGGTCTGAGCCTAAAATAAACAATGACTATTTGAGAATAATATATTAATACAAAAATTACTATTATTGGACGTTAATTTGTAGCTGAGAATAATATATTAATACAAAAATTACTATTATTGGACGTTAATTTGTAGCTGAGAATAATATATTAATACAAAAAATACTATAATTGGACGTTAATTTGTAGCTGTAAAATGTAACAAATAGCATGTAAATCGAAATAAAAATCTTGGATCCACATGCACTGAGAAGGATGTGGAACAAAAGAACGATAACTCTACATTGTTTATAGATCTTGAGAAAATAAAAAATAAAAAAAAATCAGCGACGCCATCAGACTGTGTCGAGAATGGCTACCATTGTTGTTGCTGTAGATGGAAGTAAATTTGCCGAGAATGCATTCAGATGTAAGTACAGTTCCTCTTTTCTTTTGGCTGTGCCCTTTTTTTTTTTTTAGATTATTTAGAAAGGATACAATTTGCACGTCTCGAAACTTCCATTTGGTTTATTTACATCCGTGACTTGTAATACGTGTTATTTCCCTCTAAATTAACACAATGAAATTTTTCATTCAAGACTGCCAGATGAATTTATAATATATAGTAAGATGCGTATCATTTACTTGAGAAAGATGTTAGTTGTAAAATGTCAAAATGGTCAAGAACAGCAAATTGCGTACTTCAAGTTTAAGGCAATAATTAAGAGAGAGAGAGATTCATTTTGAACAAGTTGAGTTAGTTGGAAAAACCGTTCGAATTAAACCCATTCAATGTTTTTTTTTTACATAAAGTTCACCCTGTTCTGTCTTGGAAAATAATATTTACAATAGTGTTGAAAGTACAATCATGATCTTGTATGCAAATGTAGACTTATTAATATAATAACGTTTAAAAACTTTTATTTCGAATCTAAGAGTAATCACTGACGGGTATCCGCGCCGGTTGTGACTTGTTTGGATGCAGTGAAAATGGCGTAAAATGTACAAACGGTGAATTCTGTGTACCTTTTCCAGGTCTATATTTTGGTAAATATTAATTTTTTTCTCATTTTTTTATTGAAATTTTATAGATACCTGGTTAATCAAAATGATGTGTTTCAATTCTGTTTATAGAGTTCATTTAAATAACTCGTTGATGCAATTTTTTATCGATGCACATGACATTCTTACCCCTTTAGCAAGTTTTAATTCGTGATTGTTAAAATAATATCAAATATATTTAAAATCTGAAGCAGCCAAAAGAAAGAAAAATCATTTTACAAATAAGATATTGAAAGTGTAATTTGTGTCCCATACAAGAAATGTATTTAAAAAACGTTTTATTTTATGTACCCGTAACAAATATAGTACGGTTTGGATGATGGGAGTGTTCTGGTTTGGATGCAAATTCAACATCTACATGTTACGGTTTGGACAGTCCATAGTTTCAAATTTCTGAATCCTGTAGAGCTATGCGAACCAGTTTGCTTGTTTAATACACCCTTACATGAAGGAAATGGCGTTTATGATAACATATATATTAGTACCAATTCATACAACTTTTTTCACAAGCACATATATGAAAGTTGAAAGAAGCCACCTTTCCCTTTTTCAAACATTGTTTTTACTGTAACAGTTGATTTCATATAAAAATGTTGAATATCCCTTTTCCTCCACACGATTTAAAGGATAAATAATTACTTTTTAAACACCGGCTGTCTCTTAATTGTAAAATCACATACTACAGACCCCATTTAATAAGACTAAAACCTTTCGATGAGTCGAAGCGGTTGATTGACTCCGCCATTTTCACTGCATCCAAACATGTCACAACCCGCGCGGATACCTGACAGTGAGTAATGTTAGCTTACTTGTTTTAAAATGTATCATGCAAAGATGTATTTTTATTCAAGCTGCATTTAATATGACTAGATCTACCTCGAAATAGAACATTTGGGTAGGCCTATAGACCTGAATGTCAATATTTAAATTCGTATACTTTTCCTAATCTGTACATGAATTCTAAATTGTGATTTTCTTGAAGAAGTCATGCAGCAGAACATTTAGAAATATAAAAAATTAAAATTAAAATTTTTTTTATGAAAACAAAATCGGAAAAAAATCACCCCCGTTTTCTCTCTTTTTCAGGGTACGCAGCCCATCTCCATAAACCTACGAACAAAGTAATTTTACTTTACGCCATGGAAAACATCTTGCTTCCCGAGATGGTGAAAAATTCATCATTCCCAACTACAATGAGTAATTATTTCTTCGTATAAATTAATGTTGTAGTGCACGCTTTGTAAAATATTCCCAATGGCATCAAGTCTAGAGAAATGGTAAGCAATTCCTTCAGACTGAAGCAATTGCCTTTACCACGGAGACTAAAATCGCCTGTTTACTCTTGTGTTAGTTGTTCAGTTATTGATTTTCCGTTCCACAACATAGTCTATATACTTTTGAAAACAGCGTATAAAGCTAAGTACATTGATTGATGATGAATAGAACAAAAAGTTTGATACAGGGTCAACGAGAAATATGTGCACAATGCATAATTTACGTATGTATATATTGTCTGAAGACGTTAGACGCAACTAATACATGTGTAGCCTTTTTAAGTGTTCATAAATTGAAGGTCTTTGAAGATTTATGCACAAGAAAGATTTTGAAACTTGCACTTTATGCAGACATCTATTCTTATAAAATTACATACTGTCACACTGTGTGATCTGCATAAATTGAAAATTAAGTGGCTTCTATATGATATTTTTTTTAAAATTCATACGATCAGGTCCCGGAAGAATACAAGAACTCCAAAAAGAGGCTGAGGAAAAGGCGGCAAAACTAAAAGAAAAGTACGCAGTAATGGCTGCTGGTCTTGGGGTAAATAATTAGTTGCCTTGTCTCGCCATTTCATTAACTTTAAAGGAATAGAAAAAAAGAAATTAATTGTAACAACTTATTGTAGCGCAATTCATGTATTCCCATATTTATTTCAGCATGTTACAAAACTTAGAACTTGCCTACTCAAGAATAATTAGGCCATATACATGTAGGTGTTTGTCAGTTTACTATTTAAGTAATTATAATAATTTATTTTTACTTAGAAAATAAGAAAAATATTACATTGTACTTGTACACAAGGAGAAAAATAATTATTAATATGCACCATCAGTCTGTCGATCATTTTACTATAACATGATGGTCATGATTAAAATGGTTTGGTATGCAGGAGCCTATATTTACTCAATGAACAGGATCTTGAAGACTAATTTAGTGAATTTTCCTCTTTAAGTATGGCTGAAATTTAGACGTAAGATTTTTAAAAAGTTACCCATTAATGAAAGGAAGCTTTTGTTAACATATCGTATGGAAACCTGTGTTACTTATACGTGTTATTTTCTTCATTGCACAGTTCAGTGAAATAAAACGACATCAAAATAGACAAAGTTTATATGCATACACTAAATACTCCTGCCGCTATAGACTAGTAGACAGGAACTTACTAGGAATTGCGAATCATGTTCAGTTTTAGGACAGTAATAAAAAAGTACAGTTTTTTGTTTCCTCTTCGTCATTTTCAAATCTAAAATCACCTCCCTTCTTAATCACAAATTGTGTATTTCATAAATCTACAAAGCAGTGAAAAAGATCTTAAAAGAAAATTGACACTTTAATTGCACTAGGTACTGATTAGATTTATCGAATTTTCTATTATTTAAAACAGATTGATGCTGAAATCCGAATCGAACATGTTAACGGTAAACCAGAATATGCCATCGTGGACGTAGCTAGCAAAGAAAATGCATCCTGCATAGTCACCGGAAGTAGAGGAATGGGTCTAATAAGAAGAACCATTCTAGGCAGCACGAGTGATTTTATTCTTCATCATTCAAGCTGTCCCGTTGTCGTGTGTAAAATGGACGATTAAACAAGGAGATTTTATCACCTCCTTCGCCGCTCGTAAAAATCAAGTTTCATTGTTTTCAGCCCAGTTAATATCATGTGTTCAATAAGGCATTACTTTTGTTTTTCAGGATTTTGCATATCATGCTTAAAAGCTGTTCTTTTCACTGAATAGAGAGACTGTTCATTCTGTACATCTGAAGTAATTCATTTGTTGCACATGTATTCTGTGTTTAATTATCTTATCTTCTTTATAATGAGTTTATTTCAGTCAGAAACGCGTAAACATTCTTTATAGTTATTCAGGGTACTTCAATCTTGTTAGACTTACTAAAATCTTATGCTGCGATGTATGTTGTGTAACGATTAAACAAATAAAATACTGAGAATCGGTATTTTGTATATATTTAGTATGGAGCCCGTTGGAGCATGTTGAGTATGACGTTAATACATTTCCAATGTCTTTGTCTGAGATAAAATTACAAATATAGTTAATGTACTTTATTTCCTCATCAATGTACTGTTTCATCGATAGGCGCGGTTAAAGAAAATCGCGTGCAGGGCGGGAAAGATAGAGACAAGAGGCGGGGCATATAACACGGATTGGCAGAATCAAGAGCATGCATGTAAATATAAGGAATAACTGTCAGATTTTTCGATTTCATGACGATGATCAATCCATTGGCTTGCGTGACAATTTCATGCATAAAAGCCATCGACAAGCCAATCGATTGATCACATTAATAAAAATCGAAAAATAAGACAGTTATTCCTTTAAAAAACATAACTGTAATGTCCTCTATGTACAAGTCTTCACGAAGAATGGAATTTCCTTTCGCTTATCATCCCTCATACTGTCGTTTTATAACGCTCAGTTGACCTATACATCTGTTTCAAACGTTGTCACTCGTTTGTCCATCTGTCGCACAGGCCTTTGGATCACTTAAAAAGATTATTTGTGTAAAAAAAGATATTTAAGCGATCTGAAGGTCTGTGATCTGTCGTAAATATTTGAAGATTATTTTGAACATATAATCTGGAACTATGAAACTAATTTCCATCCATTTTGATATAAGGCATCTAAGGGAATCGGGCAAACAAAAGTTTGTTACTTGAATTTACACGCCAAAGGACACGATTTCAAATCCATTCGGAGGAACATATAATAATGTCTCTTTTATTTTGATCTGTCTCTCAGAAACTTTTGAATAGTCTTCTTGATAAGGTCAAGGAAAGTCCATTTATTGTATATAGGCTCAGATCTGTGATACTGGATATTGCAAATCATTTTACATCCCCACATTTTACAGAAGAAAATACTTAAAACAATTCATATTTTCTGTAAACTTCAATATGCCAACTATAAGGAATTTACGCGATTAATATAAGTAATATTCTTAATCGCAAAAGGGTCCAGTCTTGCATTCCACCATATTTCAAGTTATAGACTACACCTAATATGTCCTATAAGATATACAAGGACTATTGCTTCCAAATATTTTGATTACAAGAAAACTTAAAAGAAGCTTGATAACGAATATCTGAAACATAATCCTCCATCGTGTTCATGTTCTTCTTCACCCAATAACTATAGTCCTACTGGACACTTTATTACTGGTAACATAAGAAAAGCTAAAAATGAGGACATTACATGTAGATCACTCATAAATTAAATTAAAAAGTCCTAAATATAGGGAACCCCGATCCTTCAACTATCGTCGTAATTTCATAAATATTATGGATTCTGTCGAAGATTATACCAAGCAATGGACCAGATATGAAAAAGAAGACGTTGATACTTTATCAGATTGGATTTTTGATTTTGAAATCAAGGTTATCTCCATATGATTCATATATTAGATCTATGTAACAATCGTGTATTAAAAGATTGAGGGGCAATTTGAAAATCATCCATCCTTCTAGAGAGGGACGTTAAACAATATACAATCAATCAATCAATCAATCCATCCTTCTGTATTCAATAATCCAGAGGTGAAAAAAGAATTAAATCGATTAAATGATCAATGCATACTGATCCCTGCTGATAAAGCAGGTAACAACATTGCCTCCGTTTGTAGGGCTCATCAAAAAATTGTATTTTTGAAGAATTTGGATTTAATTCTGCAGATTTTAATCCAAATTAAACTCATATAGTTCCCTTCCTAATTAGAAAATTCTTAAAAATCACATGTCATTTTTTTAATATTTTTAATATTCCAAAGAACCTAAATGAGTTTGAATTATCATATCTATAATATTGGATTCCAAAACGCCATAAACATCCTAACAAACAAAGATTTATAGCGGGTTGCAATAAATTTTCAACCAAGCCTCTTTCTTAACTCCTCACTAAGATCTAAACAGTTGTGAAGCAGAAACTTTAAGAGTACTGTGCAACATATATAATCAGATGTGGATACTTAAAAAGTCCAACGAACTTTTGGAATATGAAATCACAAAATTTTACCAAAATCAGAAGCCTAAAAAACCTATGACTTTTTAACTTTATACGAAACCATTTTATACGATAAATTAAAGTATAGGCTTCTTGATATCATCGACAGCTGCTTTTCAATGAAATTGGATCTCGAAGATTAACTAACATTGTCACTGGTCATTGACAAAATTATTTCCTTTAAAAAGAATATTCTGATTGTATACACAAATACCCTGAAGTTGTCATTAAAAAGATGCTTGCGTTTCTCATTGACAATATCTTTGAAATATTTTGAGATATCGAACAGTATTCAAGATCAAAATACCATAAAACAATACAAAATAGGAGCATAGCAAATATGAACCTCCAAAACATTAGAGATGGGACCAGGTACCATGAAGGAGTGAACATCCCCTGCCTACCAGTCACACCCCGTGTGTTTCTTGTCTTGATTGGGAAATAAACTTGTTGTGGCCAACTCTACATTTAGCTAAATCAATGACGTATTGTCAATATTATGATAATGATTATTTCCGTTCTTATGTCAATACGATATATCCCGGTGAGCTTGAGATAAAAGATACCATAGCGTCACATCTCTTACATTCGTGGATATTTTACCTGAAAAAGACGTTAATGATAATCTAACAACCAAACTCTATAATAAACGTGGCGACTTTAACTTCTCAATCGCCAACTTCCCTTACTTATGCCGCAATATACCGTCATCACATGCATACGGATTGTATATCTCTCAGTTGATTCGATATCGACTCCGAAGAGCATGTTCTACGTATGTTCAATTTCTAAATGGTTAATTATTGACAAACAAGTATATGAAACAAGAATATCAGCATACTCGTTAAAAGTCATCATTTTTTTTAACTTCTTCGGTTATATTACATATGCTGTGAATTAAAATCTCGAATTGTTATTATTTAAACAATAAAATGCTTTCTTTGTTTGTTATTACTAGAATGAACGGAAGTAGCTGTTGCAGAAAAAATACATAACCCGCGTAAGCGGGTTATGTAATTTTTTTCTGCAATAGCTGCGACCGTTCATTCCATTAATAACAAAAAAAGAAAGACATTTTATTGTTTATATTTATATATGTTTAAATAATCAATTAAAGTAGGATTAAAAAGATTAATTATTGTATTAATGATGCAAAGCCTTTGTACGTTTCATTGATTGAACAGCCACTGATTAAGAAATCTGTACATGCAACATGCCTACTGTAGTTTATGCAGTGATGAACGCAATGGGATTTCTTAAGAAATAAAGGAGAAAATATTCAGTGGATGTAAATATAATAACTGTGAAGTATCTTTTTGAAAAAGAAGTTACAGTTATACAGTATCTAAGTTGATAAAAATTCTTTTAAAAAGCATGTGAATTGGACTCTGATATAGGGAGAATTGGTTGAATAGAATGTTAAATCTTCGTGCCTTTTGCATACTATTGTTCTAACTAAACTTTTGTAATTCCGATCTGATTCTACACCTGATCTACACGATTTCACATATATACCCAGGTATACTGTATATTGTTGTACATAAGTATACAGTATATTCTTGAAGTTTCTCCCTCACAGCTGTTTATACGTATTTTATCTCATGACTGGAGTGACTTATTTCCCATGATATTCAATTCAAATGTCGACACATTCTTTTGAGGAATTTCAAAATTTCATTGGTTTTTACATCATAGATTCTTCTGTGTAAAATTCTTTTACACATACAAATGTAAATTGATATTCTCAAAAAATTTACGCAAGTGTAGAACTATTTAAAACACAGTACAACTATCGACAACACGCAATACAGGAATTTTTTAATGTAATTAAAAGAGGCTAAAAACCAGTTCGTGTCTTTTTTTTTTTTTTAAATGGGTGCACTTAAATTGTACGTATTCAACATCCGTGACGACAGAAAGTTCTACAAAATGGCTACGATCGTTATTGCCATAGACGAAAGTAAATTCGCACAGTTTGCATTCAAATGTAAGTGCATTTTTCGTTGATTTTTTGATTACATTTTGAAATATTTTGAACTTGTTTATCTATTTGCCAACGAGGTTTTCAGAACTTGTACTAAAATGATGATTGCAGTACGTCGACATGTTAGATTCATCTAAAAATATCCTGTTTTATTTTATGTACATGTATCCGGTTAGTCATACTATGTAAAAATGCAATTGAATGCTAAGTTAAACAGTGTGGTTAAGTGCATGGAGTTAATTTTCTTACATTTAGAATAAATTATGTTATTTACCTCGCAAAGGAAATATTGCATGACATTTATATTTTAGGGTATGCAGAACACCTTCACAAGGACGGATACAGGATAATTTTATTTCACGCTTTGGAAAATTTGTTCATGAAGGATTTGATGGGTATGAATTATTATGAAACATTTTCATTACCTGTGTTAATTACTATAATATTAATTATGAATTAAGAATACTGTACTGAAAAAAAAATGTATGGAACAAGACTATGCTTGTCTAATGCTTGTTATATAATAAAAAAATTAAATATTAACGAAATAAATATTTTTGATTTTGAAATAATTCTATAATCTAACAGACTTTTCTTTTGTTAGAATATAGAGTTATTTCCCAAAAACATGGCTATTCCAGTAATGTATCTGCTTCTTCCAAATAATGCACTGTCATTAAATATGAGGCGATATAGATACGAAAGGTTAAACTCAAAATTCAGGAAAAGACTGTTCACATTTAAGTACTGATAGCTACATATGCCTACATCAGATAACAGATAAAATTTCAATCCACGAAAAATGAGCAAACTAGAGTAGTAATTGACGCTACATTTTTGTGAAAATGAAAACCTTACAGTCTTCCTGTACAATACTTGATTTTGGAATGAATATTAAAATAATGTTTTGATCAGTGTGGCAATAAATGGACTTGTTTATGAAATCCAGATAAATATTTAAAAATATTCAACCATATTCATAACTAGTGTAAGTCAACGAAAACTATGTTAATAAAAATATTTGAATTTATGCATTTCTAGGTCCAGGTCGACATGAGGAGTTCAATGTGAGAACCGAGAAAAAGACAGCTGCATTGAGGGAAATGTACACAAAACTTGCACAGGAATTAAAAGTAACAATTTATTATTTTGTTTTGGATACATGTATATCGGTAACAGAGTGTAACAAAGAACCGAAACTATTAAATCTTAAGAATTCAAATGCAGATTCTTTTCATTTTTTTTTCTAATATAAAAATACTTCACTATGGTACGTTTTTATTTCTGTTTGTTTTCTTTGTGAAAACTCTTTGAAGTTAAATGAGATGAGTTCTTGATAATCTAACCGAATTGTAAATTTCGCCAAGCGAATGGTCGGAAGCAAAGATGGTTTAATATGCATTATAATGCATGATAATCTCATGCGGCAGTACTTTGTGTCTGACGTCAGTAGGCTGGTCTATTACTATATTAAAATTGACGTTGTAGACCTCGTTTTTTATTTAATCTATTAAACAATGTTTTAATTAAGTTTACCCCATGTTTACCTCTTCATTCCGTGAATATAGGTCATGTGATATCGTTTTTGTATCCCACAGTTGTGACGTCACAATGGGTTTCGCGTTACCGTAATGAAGTAAAATAAAGAGAGTCCTGTTTAAAAACAATGTAAAACATTGATTGTGGCGTATAAAACAACATATATCATTTTTGAAGAATTTTTCCTATTATATCATATATATGATATTTTTCTCCATATGCCCTGAAAAACTGCTGAATTACACCGGATATCGTTATATTTCACTGGAAACAGTTATATTGCCTATATTAAATACGTCGGGTTCAAAATTCACAGGGGCAGTTGCTAAGCAAACGTAAACAGTTCCGCCATTCTATATTTAGAGGTCGCGTCAGTGAGGATCACGTGACCTGGTGAACACATTTCAGTTCCGCGAAAATAAAAATGTTCGGGCAACGTCTGCGACTTGTTCATTTGAATTCAAAGGAATCACTAAATATAATTTAATTGAGGAGAAAAATTCTTTAAATACAACAAAAGTGTCAGCATACTGACAACATTCTGCCATGAAACAGGACGGAATATTTCGGAATTATACTCGATGATTTTTTTTGAGATATGTATACATGTGTACAGAGTGTTTAATAAATATGTTCAATGATCGATTTGAAATTGGATATGTTGAAAAATGTTTTATACCATATATTACATGGCTAAATTCTCGGGCAGCAATACCAGAATATTTGCTCCTCGGTGACTGGAAATCCCTGGAGTGTTATGTCGCCCTCTGCTTTCGGCATCGGGCGACATAACACTCTAGGGCTTTCCTGTCACCTCGGGGGCAAATATTCTGGTATGCTGCCCTCGCCAAGGGTAATATATGTATAATGTAAAACATTGAATAAAATGAATCTAACATGAATTATAGTTTGAAATGATTTTTATCCAACGCGTTGTGTGTTTTTATCCTCTCGCCCAGGCTCGGGGATGTAAAACACACAACTTGTTAGATAAAAATCATATTCGACTACAAATCATGTTAGATCCTATATTTACCCCCTTTATCCCGTGGATATGACTCAAAGGATATTGTTTTGAAATCCCAAAGATACATGCAGTTATGACGTCACAATGGTGGGTTTTTTTTTGCGCTTAAAGCGTGATGAAGTAAAATAAGAGTCCTATGTAACACAATGTAAAACGTTGGTTGTAAATTTTAAAGTAAGAAACATTCATTTTGGATAAAAAGAATCTCCCATGATTTGTAGTTGGATAGGGTTTTGATCCAATTCATTGCGTGTTTTAATCCCCTAGCCAATGCTGGAGGATATGAAACACACAACTCATCGGATGAAAATCATATCCAACTCCAATACATAGGAGACATCACAATTAAATATGAATATGAAGAATCACTGTCATTGGCTAGTTTGTTGGATATATCAGGTAGCATCAACGCAAATTATTTCACTTTTCAAACTATCGTTTATGCCCTGACATACCCAATTAATTGTGAATCCTTAAATAAGTATTACTTGGGTAAAAGAAGGATTTAATAGTAAACCAAAGATTTATAAATTATTTTCGTAAAAAATATTGATCACTTTAGAAAATAGATACAAGACAAATGACAATTGTTCATTTAAAAGACATTTTAATAGTTTTGGTTAATACTTAAATAAACGTTACTCTGTTATTTTTAAAACAGATAAATCCAGAGATACGTATTGAGATAGTGGACACGAAACCAGAACATGCGATCGTAGATGTGGCAAATAAAGAAAATGCCAAATTTATCGTAACAGGAACTAGAGGGATGGGAGCTATAAGGAGAACCATTCTAGGAAGTACCAGCGAATTTATTATGCATCATGCTCGTTGTCCAGTCATCATTTGCAAAATGGACTAAATCTTTTATTATTTATGTATAAAAACCCTCGCTAAAACTTCAAGCACCTGAAATGGATATATAGGTGTCGGCGATTTTTAATACTGATTCTTTAATTTTCTATTAGTATTCTAAAAACATTGACGAATAGGCAGTTAGTTGTGTTACAGAATAGTAAATGATTCAAGTTTCCTTCATATTTTTTCCATATAATACGAAAGAAAATCAGCGTAACTTAGTAGTATTTAAAAAAAAAATTATATGAAGCACAAACGGCCTCATGCGTCCTCCGGGCATAGAGAGGATAAGTAAGTAAGTAATCTGAAGTACAAGGCGTTTTGAAATTTCTTTTTCTATCAGCATTTTAAATATGTCTGTATACAGTTATTGCATTTTGTTCTTAATTACATTTTATGTCACCGATTTTGAGATGTTTGGGAATACAGTTGTTCGTAATATCAGTCATCTTCAAACTTCTTTTTGTTGGTAATCAATTATTCATAACTAATGAATGACAATAAAATTGAATCTGCATATTGCGCAATACCTATTTTAACTCAAAAGTGACACGTATGAACATAAGCAGATTTAAAAAAAAAGATAAGTTTTGCAAGGCAATATATATTTGTAGTTTTTTTTTAATTAGAAGCATTAACAATTATTCATAACTAATGAATGACAATAAAATTGAATCTGCATATTGCGCAATACCTATTTTAACTCAAAAGTGGCACGTTTGAACATAAGCAGATTTAAAAAAAAAGATAAGTTTTGCAAGGCAATATATATTTGTAGTTTTTTTTAATTAGAAGCATTAACACACAAAGTTCATAAAATTTTACATTTGATCTATAATTTCACAATCGCCTGAGGTACGAGTGTGTTTATCATTGTTTACTATTCATCATCATGTCTTTTTATTCATATTTTATATTAATATATCAGGTGAAGTTGGAAATCATGGATTGCCTAATTATAAATCTATATTTTACAAGTAAACTATTTTGATTTATTTACGAATATTATTCGAGTTTTTATTCGTGATTTCAAGGGTTTCAAGAAAAAATGAAGTTTTATTACAACAGTTTTTCTGGATCCTGCGGTGTGTCTCAATTTATAAGTATTTTTATGAAATTAAAATATCAATGATACGTATGATTATTCAAGTTAAAATTGAACTACTAGTATTTTCTTTAAATATGCATGGGCACAAGTATACTAGATTTCAATTCAACAAATATACTAGAGAAATATTTTTATACATATTATTTTTTTTTATTCTGAAGCCCTACTCAATGAAGTATTGAATAGGCCATTGTAGGTAATATCGTATCTTCGGAGGAGGCCGTATAAACCACGGCCCCGTGTCGCAGTAGGTGTTGGCAAGAAAAGGATCCCTCAATCCTTGCTCAATGGCCCTGAGTGCCGAGTATAGGACAAAATTTGCAGCTCTCCACCGACAAGTGGTAATGGCGTCTTCATATGAGTGAAAAATTCTCGAGAAGGACGTTAAACAAAATACAATCAATTTAGTGATCTAGAATACGAATTCATTCAGTATAAGAATGGTAATGTTTATGTTCTAAAAAGCTTTTTTCTTTATTATTTACAACATAGAGGAAGAAACGTATGGAGTAGTGTTAAACTTTAAGAAGTGGTTTAAATAAGAAAAAATAATCAAAAACTCTAAAGAATTATATTTCAATTTTCAAAATCACACAATTTTATCAAACTTTGTTAAACCATTCCTCCACGGTATATTGAGTTCCAGACTTTTTGACTTCATCTCATTGACATCAACAGCTGCTTTCTTAATGAAAATGAACAAATTAGTTTCCTTCTCTTTTCTTGGTTACTGATAAAATTATGTCATTCTAACATGTCATTAAAACATTCTAACTGTACAACACAATGTAAAATAATTTGATTTTTCAAGTAAAATATCCAAATATGAAACTGATGTGTCAGACTTTGTGGTATCTTTTATCTCAGTAAGATTGGAAATTACAATTGCTGATTGCCAATACGTCTTCGATATATCTAAATGTCGAGTTGAAGGCCACAACAAGTGTTTTCTTCTTTTCATACATAAGATTTCGCACAAATTCTGCCTCATATGAATACAGAAATAGGTATGCTAATAACTGGGTTCAATTTGTACTCATGAAAATTCCAATAGATTGTTTGAAGACCTGGTCTCAAAAACAACATAGATATTGTCAATTAGAAACTCAGGCATCTTTTTAATATCAACATTGGAGTACTTGTGTGTACAATCATAATAATTTTGTAAATGACCAATGACAAGGTTAGTAAATTAACGAGTTCAATTTTTTATTGTAAATGTAGCTGTCAATGATATCAAAAAGCCTAGACTTTAATTTATCGTGGAGTCCGGTTGTGTATAAAGTTGAAAAGTCAAATATTTTTAAGCTGTTGATTTTGGTAGGCTCTTGCGATTTCAAATTGCCCAAAAGTTCTTTGTAATTTTTGAGTATGCCTATATAGCTACTGTTAATATTTTAGTGAGGAGTAAAGAAAGAGGCTTGGTTGAACATTTACTGGAACCCGCTATGTATATTTGTTTGTAAGGATTCTTGTTTCAGAATCCAATATATATATGGTAGTTCAATTTCATTTTGGTTCTTTGAGATATTAAAAAATTTCAGAACTTACACATGATTTTGAAGAATTTCTTCCTTAGAAAGGGAACTTTGACTATAAATTGGACAACCACTTGTAGAATTACATCCAAGTTCTTCTTAAATACTATTTATATTATGAGCCTTCCAAACGAAGACAATATCGTTACATGTATATGCTTTGTCAGGGACCAGTACGTACTGATCGAGTAATCATCTATCTAATTCTTTTTTCACTTCTGGATTATTGAATACAGAAGAATAGATGGTTTTCATATCTCCATTCAGTCTTTTAATTTAGATCTGATACTTTTTTTTTATTCTGACAATGTGTCAATGTCTTCTTTTTCATATCTGACCCATGCCTTGCGTAATTTAACAGTATCTATAATGTTTATGAAATTCCGACGCCAGTTATATGATTGGGTTTCCCTATATTTAGGACCTTTTAAAATAAGTGATCTATGGTCTTCATTATTAACTTTATTTACGTCACCTGTAATAACGTGTCCATCAGGACTATAGTTATATGGTAAGATGAACATGAACACAATGGAGGATTATGTTTCAGATACTCGATGTCCAGGCCATGTAAAGTTTTTTTTGTAATTAAAAGGTTTGAAAGTAACGGTTGAATTTTTTTTAGAAAATGACTTTCGTAAATATTGAATTGTAAACATTAATTATTACAGTTGCAAATGACACAACGATTTTTTAAATTCTATTTTGGTAGAACATTGGGTTTGTCACACAACATAACAAAGATCCACGATATTAGCATGTTGCACGTCCTTTTTTGTCAGCATTCACACATTCTAAATTAGGCATGTTTAATACTTATGTTTATTTATTGTTTTTGATTCAATAATTCTATGATGATACTATCTTATCTTCATCCTCGCAAGCCAGGGGACTTAAGATAAAACGTTGACGTTGGACCACTTGCAATGTGTTGATTCAGGACCTATGGTTTGCGAGGATGTTGTTTCTTATAAACATGTATTAATTTACTTCGTTTGGTTATACTGAAAATTAAATAAAGATATATACCCTGCATGGTACAAGTATTTTTATTTTTCCTATAGATTCGTTGTGGAAATTTTTTTTAAATGCTAAAATGATATATTTTTGCGGCCGACTTCATGCTTTCCATCGATTTAAACTTGTAGATTTTGTTTTTAAATTACGTATACTTTAAAAGGGGTTATTTTTCAACGGTGGTCAATTTTTTATAGAACTCACATAAAAAATAACGACCCCCGGGGCTCTTTTGCTAAACAAATGATTTTTTCTACGACCTGGGGGTAATTTTTTTCGTTGAAAAATACTCCCCCGGTCATTATTCGATGGGGTTTTTTATTTGTCTTTACACTGGTTCTGACTTTTCCTGGTATGGAAAATATCACAATCGTTAAAAAGCCCGGTAAACGTTAAATATTTCTATAGTTCTTATTTTCCTCTCCCTACGGGAGATAAGAATGAAAAAAGACATTAAGAAAAACACGGCTCCTGTACCCTTCTTGAACTTTTCAAAGTGGCAGAAAAAAAAACTTGTTTTTGGTATCCTGAAGATGTACGTTTAAGTTTTGAAATTTCCATTTTAAACCGGGATGACACGGTTGAGGGTAGATTAGGAGTATAAATATTCAGTTTGTTTAAATGAAAGAATTATTGTTGTAGCTTTCCTGGTTAACCAACTATTGCGAAGAGGATATTTTGAGGCAGGATACTTGTATTACTGTCTTTTGACAGTAACTAGTCATCATATTCAGAAAAAAAATTGAAAAAGAATAAAATATTTTATACAAAATGCAAGTTTGAAATTTCCGTTTTAAACCGGGATGACACGGGTGGGGGTAAATTAGGAGTATAAATATTCAGTTTGTGTAAATGAAAGAATTATTGTTGTATCTTTCCTGGTTAACCAACTATTGCGAAGAGAATATTTTGAGGCAGAATCCTTGTATTACTGGCTTTTGACAGTACCTAGTCATCATATTCAGAAAAAAAATTGAAAAAGAATAAAATATTTTATACAAAATGCACATTCAATTACATTTAAGGATTTTTTCTAATATCTGCAAACATTTTCACCTGTATATAGAAAACGAATAAATTGTGTAATTTTGTCTAATTAATTTCTCAATATCAGTTCTTGTTATTGTTAAGGTATTGATAATTAGGGAATAACTATCTTCTAATTTGGAATTTGCGACCGTTAATGCTGATTTAACGGTCGCAAACTGAGTTTTACATGATCAATAGGAATGTTTTCACACTTGTTATGAGAGGAACAATAAGGATAAAAAGTATCAAAAACTTTAGGTTAATCCTAGAATAAACAAATTTTACATAATGTTGGGAAAATAATTAAAACGGTTTTCTTTTTCAATTGATAGACGGGTTTCTGTTGAAAATTACAGTTACAGTTACAATGAACTTCCTTCATTGTTAATGCTCTTAAATACAAATATTTTTCAATTGACATTAAGGAGACGTTTGAGATAAGGAACAAGTGTCTGCATTTGACGTGTTGTCGATATTTGTTAATCTTTTGAAGAAAAAAATCAAAGCATTTAACTTTGGTCTTCAAAACTAAAATCAAACGGATTGGATATATCGAATAAGGAAGACTACTTGGTCAAATATATTAAAAAGAAATAAGCTTTTAAAAAGGCCTATGTTTAACATGTATATTGCATGTTATTTGTTCAAAGTTCCAAGGGAATTTACCTTTTTTTCGTTTTTCTCTTCCTTCTATGACATTATTTGTTTAAATATCAATTTTAAACCAGTATGTTTCCAGAAGAGGTGTTTATTTCTTTTTTTTGGGGGGGGGGGGGCGTATATGTGTACTTCAGTGCTTGTTATAGTGCTCTTAGGTTTTAAATCTTTTCTTTATTTGAAATTTAAAAAATTAGGTTTTGCGATGTGTCTTTACGTTTTATCATTTCTGTACAATCATATATTTACTCGAAATAATGATATCTAAAACATTTGTATTAAGTAATGTACTTTGCAAAGGAAACTGGTTACTAGTAACTGGCTACGACACGTAATTAAAGTAAGCTACAAGTAACTGGCTACTAGTAACTGACTTGAAATTTGAGTATAGGTACGTAGCTTCTAGTTAATGTCTTAATTGCAAATATTAATTTGAAGAAAATAACAGTTACGTATGAAACATATGGAGATAAAGAACAGTATTCAAGATCAAAACTCCATAATACAATACAAAATAGGAGCATAGAAAACACGGGCCTAGCTCCAAACCCTCAGAGGTAGGATCAGGTGCCTTGGAGAAGTGCGCACCCCTTGCCGACCGGTCACACCCGCCATGTGCTCCTTGTCATGATCGGGAAATAACGGAAAAAACCCGTCGTCAATTCAGTGTATAAATAATTGAATAACAGTTAGTATGAAAAACGTCAGTTAGCAATTGATTCGATGATAAATTGTACTTTCTGACAAGGTCATTGTATCGACCATAGAACTCAAAATGATGACTTCAAAGGAGAAAGCTGAACGTCTTATTTCATCAACTTGTTTGTCAATAATTTACCTCCTTTCAGAAATTGCTCATACGTAGAGCATGCTCTTGCGTATGGAATCAACTGAGACTCCGTATGCAAGTGATGAAGGTATATTGCTGCATAAGTGGACTTTTACGAGGAGCGCTGACTTTTACAGCTGACGGCTTACTTTTACACAAGGACAAAGTATGATGGCTCTTTTACGATATACTTACATATTTAGCTCAACATAAACGAAAATAACGGGTTATTTCAATGCACATATAAGCTGTTCTTGAAGAAAACGACAACCACCCTACCCTCAACTCCCGGCCTTCACATTTACGTGCCCCTAAAACCATACCTTGACCACTAGAAAGGTTTTCTTATGTATTATCAATTCTGTACCTCCGTACATGATACCAGTTTAAATGTCCATGTAAACCGTCAACTGTAGAAGTCATTGCTTCTTGTAAAAGTCCAGTAAGGGAAGTTGACGATAGAAACTGACGATAGACATCACGTTTATTATAGAGCTTAGTTTTTAGATTACCAGTAACGTCTTTTCACGTAAAATATCCAAATATGAAACAGATGTGTCAGACTTTGTAATATCTTTTATCTCAAGCTTAGCGGGATAAATCGTATCGACATAAGAATGGAAATTACCATTGTTAATTGACAAAACGTCGTCGAATTGAATGCATAAAAATGAATACAATCTCTTAGTTTTGTTTTCCTAGTCAAATATCCTATATTAAAATATGCTATTTTTAATCTATACATGCAGCGTAATACTACCTTGCATATGCATTTTGAATAAGGTATTTCTTAAAAAAAAATCGTATCTTTGCCGTTTCTTTTAAAGGAAAAATCATGGTAACAACCGAATTTCTCCCCTTGTATGATGCAAAAATCAAACACAGTTAAAATTATGATAGTCTGCAGTTAAGAACTTTAAATCAACCTTTTTTTAAAACCAGCATTAATTTCATTCAAAGCATTGAAGCATAGAGTCAGAGAGAGAGAGAGAGAGAGAGAGAGAGAGAGAGAGAGAGAGAGAGAGAGATAGCCAAAGTAGGACATTTTACTGATTTTTCTCAAATTTCTTTAATCTCAGAAACTTTTCACTTCGGGAAACATAGAGCACAAGCTTTATCTGAGATTTTTATATGCAAAATGCATCTAATACTAGTACATGAAAGATATATATTTTTTAGTAGACAGGCAAACTTGTGCTATTTGTTTTCTGAAACAAAATGTGCTTTGAAATAGATGTTAATTTGCATTAAAATCAGAAAATTCGGAAACTGACATATTTTTTGTCTTACCTGTGCACTTTTTGAGTTCCATAACTTAGAATAAATATTTATTTTGTGACAATGATGACATGTTTTTCACAGTGAATTTTTGCATTGTTCACAGAGACTTCCAAATCAGGTATCTTGTCCTTTCGAAGACATCGGATTTTCTAAGATATGCACAGTATGCTGCTGTGGCCTTCAACTCGGAAATAAATGTTTCTCGATGAAGTATTAATGATTAATACTTAATCGAAGTATTAAGTAACAATGGTTACTCATTCATATGTCAAGTCGATTCATATATCAGTGAGATTGAAATAAAGATAGTACAGTGTCTGACATATGTTTTATATTTTGGATATTATACTAGAAAAAGCTTAATGATTAACATAATAACATTTTTTTTTCTAGACCGTTCACGGAAGCTAGCTCAGTCGGCACAGAGTTCGTTTCATGATCAGAAGGTTGTGAGTTCGAATTTCGTCCGCGACTGACCCAAGTCGATAAAAAACGGATAACAACTGTTCCTTCACCATGCGCTCGGCACTTGAAGTGGAAGTTGCGACTCTTCGGATGAGATTTTAAAAACCGAGGTCCCGTGTCACGGCAGGCATTGGCACGATAAAGAACTAGTGCTGCTCAATGGCCGAGAGTGCCAAATAAGGAGCAAACTTTGAAGCCCTTCACCGGTATATGGTGACGTCTCTATTGACAAACGTGAGTGAATTATGCGTGAAAAATTCTCGAATGGTACGGAAAACAACATACAATCAATCAATCATTTTTTTCTATCGTCAACTTCCTTTACTTATGTTGCAATATTCCTTATCACCTGCAAATGAAATGTATATCACCCAATTGACTCGATACTCACGAGCATGCTGTATGTGTGAACAATTTTTTTTTAAACGACGAAATCTATTAACAGGGAATGCTTTCTCTTTTATGGCACCTCATTCTACTACGATGTTTCATACGTCCATGTTTGTTTTGCTACTGATATTTGTTGTTTTGGAGTATGAATACTGTAAGTTGTTATATGCTGCTATATGTAGATGTACATTTTAGGGTGTTATCTCATACTGTAAAAAGCACGTCTTCAAAATCAATTACTTATAGTAAGGAATGTACACAAATTTGATTGATTTTTATTTTATCTTTATCAAGTTAAATTGTTCGAGGAGAGATTTAAAAAAAACATTCTCCGAAGAACTAATAATTTTTACAGGATAGTTAAACACATTAATCTTTTGTTTATACATTCAATTGATTTATTGATACTTAAAAAAAATTGAATTTTTACATTTCTTCGTTTTAATTTTGATTTATTTCACATACTATTCAACGAAAGCCTATGCAGATTTTTCCTTAAAGGATTTATTTCGAAAAAATGGGTTAACAGATTCATATAATCCGTCTAATTGTGATGCTTTTTTTTAATGTTTTTTTTCTCTTCCATTTCTGTTGCTTCTTTATATTACAATGTATCTACACCACTGAGTCTCTTTTGACAATGAGCTCTGATTGGTCAGTTTACCCTTTCAAGTATTACCTATCAGCACATATAAACGGGAAGCAAATTACGAAGTCTCAAACACCTGTAGTACGTTCAAATTACTAGGTTTAAAATGACAACCATTTATTTGATTCCAACAGCAAGTGTACTTTTCTTAACCCATTGTGTCTTCCTTGGTAAGTTTAAGGCAGCAATATCTTTATATTTTTTGCAGAGGTTTTCAAGGCGGAAATGTTTTACTGTATAAAGTACATTTTCCTGTTAATCAATTCTTACATGTTACATGGTTATTGAAATTTAAAGGAAAAAAATCCAAGCAGTTTAGTTATAACGTTCATATTAAGTTTTACCATATTGCAATTCTATTTTAGATTAAGTAAAATTGCATATGGCAAAACTTTTTTTACATAAAATAGTTTTATGCATATTGATTTTTTTTTTGCCAAGATGCTATTACTGTACCTGGAGAAATATCAAATGATGTTGCCAATCAGTTCTTAAATAGATATAGGCGTAGTGACCCCAGATGTAACAGAGATGAGATTTACTGTGAAACTAACAAAGTCAGTTGTATGGTGAGTAAAAACTTACCTAACTTAGTCTGACTAGCTCTTTGATTTTTTTTTATTAATTTCCACTACATTTTCATTGAGGTATCATACATAAATGATATTTTTCAGTTACAAAGTACATGTATAATGTTTTGATATGATCAATACAAGTATTATAACCAGTTGTTTTGACCTCTTTATTTTATATGAATTTTTAAAAGTAAGACATAGCGATACTTTAAGTGATGAAGTACTAGTGAGACTCAAATTTTGTTCATTTTTTTAAGCAACACAACGAGAATTCCAGGGAACACTACTGTGGTTTAAATAATCCATGTACCTCAGGACAGACTTGTTACCTCTCAACTCCTTGTCCAGCACATTACAGGACTGGGTGCACAAGTATGAAACATCTTTACTTCAAAAACAGAATAATCTCTTGATTAACACTTGAAATAATCTTACATTAAATTAAGGCGTCTTTATATGAGTGAAGTGAAGTTATATGAGTGAAATACTAGGGACGTTAAACAACATACAATCAATCTTACTGTTAAAACCTCAAGCAAAACTTTTATACTTTATATGTAAAGAGAACTGAGTATTTTCCCATTTAAAAAAATATATCCATTTGTAATCCCATTTATTGATTATTTGCAATCAAACGACAAACAAAATGTGAACCTAATTGGTTGTGGATAAATATACGTAAATCTTCTGCACTGTTATTTATCAAATTTAAATGTTAAGACTCCTTTCTTATCCTGTAGATCACTTTTTTTCGCGATACTTCATTTTAATTAGGCTTAAATAAAGTTCGCACAAATAAAAAAGTGATTTACAGTATGGTAAATATTGATGAAAGCATGCAACTTTAGTTAATGACAAAAATATATGTATAAAAGCTTAATTTATAATTAACTTCAATTAGGTAATGCTTGTTACGGACAACCTTGCCAGAATGGAGGAGCATGCACATTGGACTCATCTGTCAAAGGATATAACTGTCGTTGTTTAAGTGGTTATGATCCGGATACAGATTGTAGATCATGTAATATAATTTTATCTATCAAGGCAATTCACTTTTTACGTACAGTACGCAGCTTCTATTTATGCTATTCTATAAATCCCAAACCACAATTAAATGTGAGAGAATTGTGCTTTTGTCCATTAGTTTAATGTCTTAAATCTCGTTTATACAGGAAAAGAGAGTTATATTTTTGATTTCGTTCATTTTATATGCTGCTTCATTTACATTTAAGCCATCTTAAACATTTCAGCAATTTGCCCTTAAATACGTTTTAATGAAATGAATAATAAATGTGAAAAAATTAAACAATATATTTTCTAATTTAGATAATTTTAAATATTTAGAGATTTGAAGACCTTATGAAATCTCAAAGAAACTAAAATCATTCAAAGGTTATTATCTTTAAAGAGACTTCCTTTATCTGAAGAAATGAAGATTTAAACGAGGGTGCAAACGTTTTTATAACATGTCAGTATTCTCAACAACAAATCATTACAGATATAGACTACTGTAGAAGCAATCCATGTCAAAATGGAGCGTCATGTTCCCCGAGACTAAATGGTTATACCTGTAGTTGTCTGTCAGGATACAATGGTGTCCATTGTGAAAACAGTTAAGTACCATTTAGCAAGACAACTCGCTTCTAACGGAGGCTATGCTGGTAATAATTTGGGTTTTTCCATAGAACTTTTTAAAAAGTTAAATATTTGAAAATCCGTTTTTAACATTTGGAACGTGAATATTAAATGCTCTTATCTATAATAGAAAATGAAGTTTAGATAAAATACATACAATTTGTTTATTGAAATAAGTTAGCAAAACGATTCTTTTTAAAATTTGGATTATTTAAATTTAAGTGCTCCTATGTTTAAATAATTTTAATTTCACAAACATAAGGATGCAATTGCTTTTCCGGCAAGAAGAACAGCTGATGAGGGTTTTGTATGAAGATGGAAAAATAATTGTGTTAACATCAAGGAATAATCTAGATATTAATTTGACTCATTTTTCCATTTTTAGATATAGATGAGTGTGCCAGTTCGCCGTGTATTCATGGTAGCTGTATAGATCATGTCAATAAATACACGTGTTCTTGTGACCCCGGATACACTGGAATAAACTGTCAAACGGGTGAGTCATCTTGCTTCAAACATATTGCCTTTTATTGTACTGTATACCTGACTTACTGTTACTGAAATTTGTTAGAGCTTAAAACAAACATATTTTTAGAAAACGTCACTTAGTGTTACATATCAGAAAAGCACAGAGCAGAGATGAAAATATTCGAACCACATTAAATAGCATCAATAGAATTCATTTCTATTAAAATATGATCCAAATTATTAAGACTTTTTCGTTTGTTTTTCCCCCCATTTTTGTCTGCCGCATTGAAAACTTTACGATGGAGTTTTTCCTTTCTTCTATCAAGATTGAGTAGGATGCTGTTTGTAAAGGAAATTTAGAGTTTGAGATCCACGAGCGCTTATTTTAAATCAAATATTTTAAAAATTCATGACATCATATTGTTTGCATGCAAGTATTCATATTAATATTTCCGTGTCACATATTCCAATAATTAATTTATAGGTCCTGACTTTTCGGAATTTCTTTTCCTAAAGGCTACTTGAATATTGATTGAGTTCGATTGAAATTTCATGCACATTTAAGTCTATAGCTTAATTGCCAATTAAGGTATCTGACCCCACATCTGGCATCTCCAGCAGACCATGGTTTTGCCTTCCTCTTGATTTGAATTATGAAATTGATCTGTGGTCGTTATTTTCATCTTCTTTCTCCTGAATTCTCATAGCAGGAAAAATTTTTACATTTAAGGAACATTCAAAAATATCAAATACATGTACACGTATATCAAAATGTAATTAATATTCATTTGTTTTGGCCTTATAGACATCAACGAATGCCAGAGTTCACCATGTGTTCACGGAAACTGTACAGATCACGTGAACTTGTACACTTGTGAGTGCCAGCCTGGATATACAGGAGTTAACTGTGAAACAGGTTAATTAATTAAATGTTAAACTACATATTAAGTTAAAAAGAAAAGTAAATATCAACCTGGTGTACATATAAATTCCCTAATTCCTGTCAACTTTTAATAGTAATCATCTATAGTAGTAATAATTCTATAGTATTCAATTTATTAAAAATTATTTTAAAAAATAGAAATCAACGAATGTGTGAGCTCACCATGTATTTATGGCGAATGTGTTGACAAAATCGCTAAATATACGTGTACCTGTGACATTTTGTTCGTTGGAAATCGTTGTGAGCAAGGTAATATTTGGACGGAAAAAATCTATAATTCATTCTGTGAATACGATTTTTTAATTTCCTTCTTTGTTAAGTAAATGAAACTTTTACTAATTATTTTCTAGTGAATGCAACATATTTAATAACCATATTGCTTGGGATATTGGGAATCGTGGCGACTATGCTCGGATTGTATGTCATGTGGAGAAAAAAGAAGTAAGACCAAAAAATTCTGTTTTAAAACAAGCAATACTAATTACATGTTATAAGCTGAATCTAGATGCACCCATTATGTGTAAATCATGTGTACACCATTTCGTTATAGAAAGCAGATAGATTCTATACCACCTTTTCCGTTTGGAAACATGAAACTTGGACAGACGAAAACCCAATTTTCTCGCAATGCAGTACAAGTGGTTCATACTATCCCGCAACCAGATCCGGTTTTGTTTCCGGATGGAAATCTTGGACAGTCAAAAGTAAATTTCTGCAGCAACAGATAAACAGCAATTTTCTTCATAAAAAGATTTCTACTTGTGACTAAGTAATTGGGAACTGATGTTTACTGATTGAAGAGAAATGTTTGATAATTTTAAAGAATTTTGTTTAATTGTAACAATCAAGCATTATCGGGGGTAGGTATTCACATTCACAATGTTGAATCGAAAGACAGGTTTTTGGATCCAGAAACCTCCTTGCAATGATAATTTTTTATTCATTTGAAATTTTTAAAAAAATCACAAAAATTAAAAAAAAAATATTCACAATTCTTAGATTTTTTTGGTGTAATACATTAAAATGTATTTCCCTTCTCTTTTGTAAGTAAGAAACGTGAATAAGATTTTAATATCAATAAGATATAATTTCAGACATCAGCAAAATAGGAAAACATTTACATCATTTACATTTAATAAGACTACAGCTTGAAACTAGGAAATTTACCGTTTTGCTTCCTGATGTATAAATTTTTCTGACCGCGTTTGAACTCAGACAATAAATTATTTATATTCTGATCAACCATTGATAAAAATGTTGATAATGATAACCTTCCTCACTTACTATTGTTTGAAATTTGATAATGGAACACAATGAACTCAAGAGAGTTGGCCTACATTATACTTGTACCTGAAGAGAGACTTGTACAGTGCAGTACAGATCATCTACCCTAACTGTTTATATCACCAAATAGACATATTTAGTATAAACAGAGTACTTTTACATTCAAAATCGATTCTTGCACTGTGTGTCTTCTTGTTTTTAAAGTTCACTTGGATACATGTATATCGAATTGTTATATGGATGGAAAACTAGTATCTATTGTTAAGGACAAACGATAGTTCCTAAATGATATTTTTTCCTGAGATTTTGTCGTTTATGCATTGCTACTTAAACATGTTTACTCACAAAAATTCATCTTCGCTAGCCAAGGGTTTCTGATACGCTACTCTCCTCATGAACCCTTGGCATACGGTGAAGTTAAAAGACGGAATTGTTTTCGTCACGTGATCTCGAATATATCAGGTGCGCACAGATTGCGTCATCGACAGAAATAAAGACGCGTGTTCAAAAAAAAAAATTTATCAAAGTTTAATTGAGTTATGTTTATTTATATTTATGGTACAAATCTGAAGCTTCAATATAGATTCTTAATCATATATTTAGAAGATATTGGATGACACCATAGCTATTCATAGAATTGCATGTTCTCTTACGGATCGTTGTTTACTTGCGTTTTTCATTTCCGAGATTAAAGAGTCAAGAAGTATCCCGAACGCAAATATCGCCATTTACAAAAACTATTGCCGATTGGTCGACCGGGTGTACCGAATCCCAATCAGAACTCGAGAAGAAAACCCAACTTCTATCAACACCGTATGCCAAGGGATTTTGAGGAGAGTAGCGTATCAGAAAACCTTGGCTAGCGAAGATGACAAAAATTTGGATACCTTACTGGGCATTTGTGCAAGATACCAGATTATTGTGTTTTATAGTCCTTTTCGAAATGATTATAATTGCCAAAATTTACAAATATGAACATTTTGATTTTTATAAAGACAATTAAAAATCTGGAGATAACAAACAGTTTTCAAGATCAAAAGTCCATAAAACAATACATAATAGGAGCAGAGCAAACAAGGACCTCCAAAACATCAGAGGTGGGATCAGGTGCAATCAGAAACCAGTTTAGAAGTCATAGGGTAATTATGATGTTACACATTTTTATACATTGCAAAAGTATAGAAAACAGAAACATCTCGTTTAACCTTAAGTGATAAATGCCTTTGAAATATCTGAATGTTTAAGGTCATTGTACTTTACTTCTTCTCATGAAGTTTTTTTACATAAATTTGGTATCGTGCATGTAGTTGTTGGATCACCTTGTCTCCGGACAATACCTGGTGAATGGTTTCAATAAGGAACTCCAACATACGTTTAAAATCATCACTCAAAATACTTTTGTTTAAAATTTGAGTATTTTTAATTCTTTAATTTTGATGAACAATACAAATTATAGAAATTTCTGAGTTTCACTATTTATTGAGTTGATGTTTCTGCCCTAACAAAAAAGAATACTGTAGTAAACTATAGTTATCTATAGTAAATCAAACTTCCAAAGTTTTCACTTTAGTAATTCAAAGTTCCAAAGTTTTCACTATAGTAAACCAAAGTTCCAAAGTTTTCAGTATAATAAATTCAAGTCCCAATGTTTTTACCATAGTAAATCAAAGTTCCAAACTTTTTACCATACTAAAATCAAAGTTCCAATTTTTTTTTTCTATAGTACGAGGGTTGATCCAAAAGTAATAATGTCACTGTGTCCATATGTTTTATATTTGGCGTCTTATTATCAAATACAATATACCAAAAGATGCATAAACATGAATCTAATTAACATTGAAATTTTATTTTAATGCATTTTTTTTAAATTTATTTTATAGATGTTCAAAACATAGAGTATAGGGGGTGTTGGCGCGTCACAGCGGAACTTCACGTTTTAAAGTGTAGTTTTTTCTTAAAACGATATAGACAAACACATTAAAAAGATTCTGAAAAAAGCACCTAATCTCCCATTTTTTTTTTTTGAAAGACACAATTCTCGTCATTTTCTAGCTTTTAACTGAAAATTAAATGACGGCATTGGTATTTGTTATCATAGACATTATTGTTTTAATCTGTTGAATTGAACAAAGGAATTGTCGAAATGGGGAAAAAGGCTCGACGAGTTGTAATGCATTTTTGCTTCAAAATATGGGAATCATCACTAGCGACATTTTTGTTAATCAATCAGACTTACAGAATAAAGAATGTAAATAAGGCGAAAATAAAAAATACCTTTGTTTCCCCTAACGCGACCGACCCAATTAAATCGTGCCGACCGAAAAGATTTTTTAAATAAGATGATTCAAATATTTCTTTACTGTTAACCAAGTTTTATAAAATGCAATATCATCAAAATAAGTTTTTATCAAAACGGCCGACATTGTTCTACTGTGATTTTCAAGCATTTATTGGAAACGAAATGACGTCCAGATGTGATTACAGGGCATTAGCTCTTCATAAAACAATGGCGACGTCTCAATCTTATGCTTTTAGCTAATCGGAATTCTTCACTCTTAAAACAATTCGATAATAAAATTTACCATGACTAATAAAGAGTGTTTCGGAGGTGTCTTGGCGTCTCATTGTGAGTGAATAAATTTTCGAAAAGAGACGTTAAACAACAAATAAACAAACCTGTCTTTGAATTCAAGGTACGTAATACATGGTAAGGCCCGCCTCATGAGTAGATGAGGGGCACACCTAGTAAACACATCATTCAATTTCACTGCATTTTATTTGAGTTTTGATCTTAATAACCAGTTCATCTGTGTTCCTATGTTTACTATATGACAGTATGGAACCATAGGAGTTGTTGTAAATATGTCTGCATATTCATGCTGATAAATATAATTCAGATGTCCTTTCTTCATGCCTTTATTTAGTGGTTAAACTTCGTGACTATGACATTGTATATAGCATTTTTATCATTTGTAGATTCGGTTTGGTTTAGTAAATATTGTTAACATACTCTTTCCAAATTTTGTAACTTTGATTTAGTATGGTGAAAACTTTTGAAACTTTGATTAACTATAGTGAAAACTTTGGAACTTTTATTTACTATGGTAAAAACTTTGGATTTTTGATTTACTATAGTGAAAACTTTGGAACTTTGATTTACTATAGTAAAAACTTTGGAACTTTGATTATCTAAAGTGAAAACTTTGGAACCTTGATTTACTCATATTAAAACTTTGGAACTTTGATTTACTATAGTAAAAAAACTTTGGAACTTTGATTATCTAAGTGAAAACTTTGGAACCTTGATTTACTATGATAAAAATATTGAAACTTTGATTTACTATGTTGAAAAATTTGAAGCTTTGATTAACTATATTGAAAACTTTGGAACTTTGATTTTTTATTGTAAAAAGTTTAGAAATTTCGATTAACTATGGTGAAAACTTTGGAAATTTCGATTAACTATGGTAAAAACTTTGGAACTTTGATTAAATATCGCAAAAACGTTGAAACTTTGATTAAGGACCATAAACCAGTGAAAATAAGTGTTTTAATTCCCATTCTTTAAATTCTAATTATATAAAATAAGCAGTATTTATCTAAATTTAAGTAATTTTAAGGTTATGAAGCGTTAACATTAGTTTTATTGATGGAGAACAAAAATAATATACTTTAAAATAAAATCTGCGTCATTTAGAATCAAAATATCAGCTTCATTAGCTTCAATCAACATGTTTTTGTTTAATTTTATAAATGTAAATATTGCATTTGAATGACCTAATTTGTATATTTAAATAAAATTATACAACAAAAACCCGCAGTATTCCCACTCCCTCAAAACGTCTAAGTAAATGATAAAAAAAATATTGAGTTGTTAAATTTATGTTTAAAAAAAAATCCTGAGAAACTTTGATTTACAAGTGTTGATCCAAAAGTAACGTCACAACTTTGATAAAATTGCTATAAATCGACGTAAAGCAAAAAAATAATACATGTTGGAAGCTTTTAATTATTTATCTCAATTGTGACCTGAAAAATTCAAAGGAATATGATGCATACTTTTCAAAATATCGGATTTTAAACAATGCGCTTTTATGGTTGTCGCCACACCTAAATATAACGTCATTTGACGGATACACAACGTGTTTCTTTTAAGCGTTTCCCCTTTTGTGATTCGCAAACACTTTGACCAATTCCACTTTCTTTAAAAATTCTTGGTACCATTATACACTTACTCTTTTCATAATTAAGCCCTCCGTCAAAATTTTTTGAACGGTAGCATAAGAAAAACTTAAAAATTCACATGTCACCCTATACGTCTGCCTTTTTTGACAACGTCAGACACCATTGAACGTTTCCGTCCGATCTCCCATCTTTCGGTCATCTTGTCTTGCCCAACCAAAATTGCTGAAACCATCTATTAACATGTCTCTTAGGCCGGAATTAAAAATTTCTTTGTTTCCCCTAACCCGACCCTAAATTCTCAAATTGGGTCGGTAGTTAGGTAAACAATTTTATTTTCTGACCGCAGATTTGAAAATACATTCTAAAATTTAATGGAAAATTACCTTTATAAATAAGAAAAGTACAAAACAAAGCGATTTGTGAACAAAATGCTAAGTATCGTACATATGCCGTTTAAAAGCAAAATTCATGATTAATTAATTCACAACTGTTATTTTGTTGAACTTGTAAAATATCTCACCCCATTACATCTATATAAATTGAATAAAATAGACAAGATTCTTAGATACGCAAAGACCAGACATTCGAGTATATTTTTTCAAACCTTCCATCAGCCTTCAGAGCTTATAGACGATCAATGTACTTTTTTGACGGCCATAAGATTTGGAGTGGTTCTGGAGCATTTTGCTTTGGAGTTATGAAGTAAGTGGCTAATCTTAAATCGCAGGTTCAAATCCCAGTGAGTAACGTTGAAAACGGTCCTTTAAAGGGGACCATAAAAACTTGTGTCTAGTGTCGCAGAAGATGCTGGCTCAAAATAGATCCCCCACTGCTTAATGGCAAACAAGTGCTCAGTACGTCTAAATTTGGAGCAATGGGGAAATGTTTAAATGTCGTCCTAGCAAATCTCGAAGGGATTAAAAGGAAACAACTAATCTTCAAGGGCCAAATTAAAGAAAAATACACTGGACGTCTCAGGAAACTGAATCATGATTTCAAAACTATTTGGAAAGAGTATGTTAACAATATTTACTAAACCAAACCGAATCTACAAATGATAAAAATGCTATATACAATGTCATAGTCACGAAGTTTAACCACTAAATAAAGGCATGAAGAAAGGACATCTGAATTATATTTATCAGCATGAATATGCAGACATATTTACAACAACTCCTATGGTTCCATACTGTCATATAGTAAACATAGGAACACAGATGAACTGGTTATTAAGATCAAAACTCAAATAAAATGCAGTGAAATTGAATGATGTGTTTACTAGGTGTGCCCCTCATCTACTCATGAGGCGGGCCTTACCATGTATTACGTACCTTGAATTCAAAGACAGGTTTGTTTATTTGTTGTTTAACGTCTCTTTCGAAAATTTATTCACTCACAATGAGACGCCAAGACACCTCCGAAGCACTCTTTATTAGTCATGGTAAATTTTATTATCGAATTGTTTTAAGAGTGAAGAATTCCGATTAGCTAAAAGCATAAGATTGAGACGTCGCCATTGTTTTATGAAGAGCTAATGCCCTGTAATCACATCTGGACGTCATTTCGTTTCCAATAAATGCTTGAAAATCACAGTAGAACAATGTCGGCCGTTTTGATAAAAACTTATTTTGATGATATATTGCATTTTATAAAACTTGGTTAACAGTAAAAAAATATTTGAATCATCTTATTTAAAAAATCTTTTCGGTCGGCACGATTTAATTGGGTCGGTCGCGTTAGGGGAAACAAAGGTATTTTTTATTTTGGCCTAGTTAATCAAAGTTCCAAAGTTTTCACTTTAGATAATCAGAGTTCCAAAGTTTTCACTATCGTAAATCAAAGTTCCAAAGTTTTTACTTTGGTACTATAGTTAGTTTACTTTAGTTAACTTTAGTTTATTATAGTGTTTTTTGTTAAGGTGATTTCAATTAGCTTATTGCAGTGCCTTTGGGGATTATTGTAAAAAGAGCATAAATTTAGGACGTATTGATATTGTTTGATTTATGATAATTTGGCGATTTTAAATTTTGTAAAGTCCCTTGTAGCTTTTTCGTTTAGAATTTTTATATGAGTAACAACACATCGATATAATGCTTTAGCATTATACTTCTAAAGTTCTTCTTTATACGGCAGTAAATTATAGTAGCTTGGTAGATCATTTGCTGGACCCGACAAAACATCACCTACACTCATGATAAATTATACGAACAATACAAAAACCATACAAGACCAAGGAACGGTCCCATGGAAGTATAAGTGGCTTGAGCAGATACACATGGGGATACGCCCCTATAGACTGATTATGTCAACCCAAACTCTTTGGACTGCTGACAATTTCTTATTTTTAAAAACTAGTAGTCATAATTAGTTTTTAGACATTTTGTGAAAACTTTACTTAAACTGAAATAAAAAAAGACTATTTACATAAGTCAGTTCTTACGATGTACAATGTAATATTATAAAAAGAAAATATAATTATTCAATTAAGGATCGTAGCATGTATGAAAGATTGAGTTCAAGATTAAGTTAATACTTATTTAAGCAATAAATGTCCAATTGTTTGCGTATCTATTCAAGAAGGAATTATTTACATGAACAAATTCATAAAAAAAATTCAAGAATAAAGAATTCATAAGCTTCATTTTACATTCATAGGTAAATCGTGAAATAAAGCAATCATTGATGGAGAAATTAAGAAATCATACCGGAATTAAAAATGTATAACTATAGATATGTGGAGAGCTTAATATAAACGTATTGACACTATAAACTACTAAATATAAGTATATAAACTTGACAAAATAAGATAGGGGATTGTATTTATAAACATTTTTTCATACCTTTGAATTTCTGTGACAATAAGGCTGAAAAATAAAAACATGTCATTTATGCTACTCTATTGTTAACTAACATGCATTTGATGAGTTTTGTGGCATATTGCTCAAGAAAGTACTTAGTGTTAAAACGTAAGTGGAACTATGATTTTCTTTCGTGAACATAAGAGAGTTTCAGTATTTCTGGCCAGAACTGATATAAAGACGCTATGAAGAGACAATTAATTGAGCATTGACAATTGCTCCAGCGCAGTAGGAATCTTAGAAGCTGGCAAAATGCAACGTCACGTTGCAGAAAGATTTTAAGTTTTCCAAAGCGTACTCAGATATTTACAGACAGGAAATTGTTTAAGAAGGCTAAATTCTGAACGTATCAGGTGTATGACAGGCTATGAGGATCGGCATTTAGCCAATGTTGCAAAGAGCATTGCTTCCAAAATGCTCTTAGAGAGCCATTGGTAGACGGATTTCAACCAGACAGTTTGAAACAAACTTCATGAAAAATCTCAAGACTTGTTGATGAGCCATACGTCCTGTATTAAAAATTCGTGTATCACAGAACACTAAAATTACCAATAGCGTACTGTTCTCTCCTGAGGCAAGTTGCGATTTCTTTTACCTCCTTGATGTCAGACTGCAAAACTGATCTGTACATTATTTAAGGCTAACTGATGGGTTTAAAATATTGGGATGATATTCCTCATACTATTGTTATACGTACTGCAGGTACTTTGTGGAGTTATCATTATAATGAACGATAATGCAAGACGTCAAAAAGTCTAAATCGTAATCAATTATATCTGTACCTAAACCTAATTGACCTGCATAGGACATTTTAAACCACGCATTTCATGTCGTCTGAAACTTCTCCAGAATCGACAGGATGTTCACATAGCGTTGCAGGAGGAATGACAACAGATCTCTCGGGATAGCCTTGCAAACCTTAGAGCCAACGTGGGTCTCCACCGTAGGGTCCTTATTGTCTCGCGGAGAGTTACAGAATGCTGGCAATCATTTTGCTGCCAAGAATTTACTCTTCTGAAAAAAATCTTATCATGGGGTCTTTACCCAACATGGTGAATTTTAGATTGACCGTAATGAAGAATTCGTAGCAAGTTTTCAAACAAATTTATCACATCTAATGTTTGATTTTCAAACTTTGAATATAAAATAGGATACTAAAATATTTTGTTTTCTAAGATAAAGTGTATGTAAAACATATTATATAAATGGATCACCTATAACATTTTGTCCAGTATTTTTGATAGCACTTTAACTATGTACGACTTTCTACTATGGGCTGCATATCGGAAAATCCTGTCATATATGCGTTATCTACCGTGTATACATCTTTTTCTCTGTTAGAGTTCTGATTCATGATTTGCAGCTTTAGCTGTTTTAAGACAATAACACTATACAGACTAAAGAAAACAGCAGCTAAAACACCAATCAGAGTAAACACTGCGATGACTAGGTCGGCGGTTAAGCTTCTATTGTTGTTGTTGCTGTTTTGAGTGCAGATGTTCTCTGTCAGAAGATGGCCTAGAAGTAGAAATTTAAAGACCTAAAAGTTTTGGAATGGTGCAGTCTAATATTAAATATTGTTGAAAGAAAACAAAAAAGTGATCATTTTTTTAATTAATTTTGACAGATAAGTTTTAAGCATTCTTTGCATTGTATTTGTCTAAGCTACGTAAGCATAATACATGTAGTATCACGTGATATTTTTCACTTTGGAAACTCCAAATTTAATCTTAACTTGTTCATTTTCCATGTTGCAATTTTCAACTTTGAACTAGGTAGTCAATTACCCTGTATTGCTGGCTTTATTTCGGGATTTCCTTGAGATGTTAACGATGTGGTGCTTGAGGGAGCAGTTGTTGAGATTTTTGGTTTATTTGTTGTTGATTGCCCTGATTCAAATTGAAAAGTATGTAATAATATGAAAAAATTCAAGACAAGAAGTCATTTTACATTCTTTTTTTATGCTGAAAGAGGTTTTAAGTGAAATGTGAAATGTCAAAGGACGTCTTGAATACTCTAGCGAATCATCTGTCATTTTTAGTGTCATGCATTGCTTAAAGAACCGTAAAACAGTAACGTCGTTAGTGCCACTTCAACGTTTATTCCTAAATTATTGTCTTGATAACAGCTTTGTATAAAAATTCCGAAACCGTAAAGGTGTTATGTCGTACCTACGACTGCATCAAATCAAAAAGCTGCACAAAGGCATTCGCAGTCTAATTAGACTCGGCCTCGTTAAAGTCAAATGCATGAAATTATGACATGCACAACAGAGATCATACCCATCTTCACAGTTATGAATTCGAATCATGCGCTTTAATGTAAAGATTAAGAGCCATTCTCTGTAATGATTTGAAATTTTATATAGGAGCTGTGGCACGCATAGTCTCAGAATTTCTCCAGACTCTCTATGATAAAAGTCATTGATACCCTAAACTGAAATCAGGCAAAAATTGGTTGCTATGTTTTATAGTTACCATGGCAACATGTCTTAAAGTTCGGAAAATGGCATTTTTTAACATGTTTGGAGCCCCCCAGTTAACATTTGCGGCAAAGCAAACAATTGGCAGTGACTGTTTCCAATAGTTGAAGGTCAGATGTCTCAAATGCATGATGAACATGTTTGGTAAATCAACTATTACATACGTTACTATGGTAACAAAGTATTCAAAAGTAAAAAAAAATATTCATTGAATTTTATAAAGTCATACACGTAAAAATAAAAAGCAATTATAGGATGAAATGTTACCAAATAATAGAAAAAAAGCCTTGAAACATATACCAAGAACAAAATATGATATTTCATTTTGGTTGGCAATGGTTGCCAAGGTTTTTATACCACAGGGAGCCTTCAAAGTAACACTCTGTATGTTTAAATCTGATCCTATCTTTAAAAAAAAAGCACATTTCCTCATAACTAATGATCAATTTTATAAGATGTTGGTGTGCTCCAAGTTTTCCCATTTGAAAAAATTCAGATTAGATTCTTTAAATAGAGTGTTGCTATGGAAATAAGCAGAAAATATATGCTTAAAAACCTGAAAAATATTTTCTTTCCTTGGATACGTACCCTTAAATGTAGATTCCCAAAACTTTTATGATTGATATTTATAAACAGCTAACTTGACTTTTAATTTTGACTGTCATCCAATCTCTAAGTGGATGCAAGAAGTTGGCACACAGGGTTTAATATTGATATAAAGTTCACAAAATCGAACATTTTCCCTTCTTGGTAACCATAGCAACAGTGTTGTTTTATTCATCAAATTTTATCAATATATGATATTCAACTTCAGTTCTAACAGATAAGTACTTTTCAAGCTGAGTCCTTTAATTTGTTTCTTGATTAAATGGCAATTTAATTCTTAATGCAGCGAAAAATAATTCACTTTTAAGCACTGGTACTTTGTTTCCATGGTAACACTGCAAAGTAGCATTTATACCCAATTTTTCTTATGGTTTTGGTATTGCAAGGTCCTAAGGATGCATATTTGCCAATCTTGAATTTTCATGTTTTTCCTCAAGACAGTATCATTAACCCAATCTTAGTTACTGGTTTTGCATGGTTACACTGTGTTACCATGGCAACCATGAAAGTTATTTAGAGAATAATATTGCTCATACTTATATACTTAAGGTCAAACATTTTCATTGTTTTTCTTAAGTCGTTGATTGAGTTTGAGCATGTAACACCTACCATTAGTGAATACGGAGTGTTTTGCAGCATATTTCAGCATTTTAAATGTATACCAAATGTACCCTTGGTTACCACTTACTTAGAGATATATTCTAAACAGTTTCTTTACAGTATAAGTGACATCAAGGTGTCATGTTTTTGTGAGAATGGTTTGTATGCTTTTTCTAGTTTTTATTAAGCCACGGTCAAGATTTAAAGTGGCTGAAAATCTCGATTTTTCAAACTTTTCTGGCTGTTGCCATAGCAACCGAGACACATAGCAACGAAATTTTGTTTGATATTTGTTTCTGGTGTCAAGTACTAAGCATGGGTGAAGTTTCATCAAAATCGGTGACCATGCGTGGCAACGAAGTTTAAGTGGTTACAGAGAATGGCTATTAATATACAGAATAACTTATACAAAGAAACATAATAATATACATAAATAGTAATGTAATAATACGTAGTAGTAATAATAATAAATGCTCAAAATAAATGTAGATCGAATTCCTTCTGCGAATTGAATTTATTTAGATTGTATGGAGGACTTTTATTAGTAATTTCAGTTAAGTGTGAAGTTTGGCATTACGTCAGGATCTTTTTCGACAGATTCATCCAGCGTTAACAATTCACATCCCGCTGTGTGAATGGTCAACTCATATTATCAACATTGACACGGAAGAAGTCTGTTGCACGAGCAACCAATCAGGGATTAGAAGAAACTTCCAGTCGTAAAACTTGCGGTTAGGAGGCGTGTTCACTTATCTGAAATTACTAAAAAAAATCTGTATGATTGTCTCAATTATTTTCCTAATCAAAAAGATAGATGTGTTGCAGTTAATACGTTACTCTGTCTCTTGATGCGTAAAGGATAGCATATGATCACTTCTTACCACAAACAGGTATGTTGCATCTTTCCCATCTTTTACCGGGAGCTGTAGACAAACACCAGGGAAATTCTGCCCCATCCGGCGATCTGCAATAGTTTTCTAACTCTCCAAAAACTGCATAAGCCTCTTCTGAATCCCAACGTCGGCATGCGTAACCCGTCTCTGTGACAGCAATTTTTCCCGTGTACATAAATCCGCTACCCTTTTCATAACAATCATCATTTGTAATGGCTAAATAAAGGAAAATGAAATATAAATAAAAATCACAACAATAACTCTAGGTATACAAATATTGTAGATTAGGAGTTGATTTCTTAATGTTGAAAGTTCTAAGTTCGGTCCCTGTCCATGTGCTGCGACAAGCCTAAAACGCTGAACATAGGAAAATTTAGTGACTCTATCTTACTGAGGGTACAGCACTAGTGATGGAGTTGAAGATCTTTGAGATGAAACTTTAATATTTCTTACTGCGAACGTACGAAACATTCAAACCCGATCTTAACAGCAGATGATGTTTCTAAACAAGTGAAACGTTTAACAACATAACGAAATATTTATAACTTACGACATAGTGGTATTCTACAGTATTCCCATCTTTTCTCCTCGTCCGTCGTGTAGCACCAGGGGCCCTGTGGTTCTCTGTCAGGGTTTCTGCAGTAATTTCTACTGTTCTTTAGGGTATTATTAAACTTATGCTTATGGGGAAACTGCGAGACCCAGGACTGACAATCTTTTCCACTCAAGGTGTGATCCACGTTTCCAAAATACTCCATTCCTAGTGTTGTCATTTTGCACTCCCTTTGTCCTGGAAGAGAGTAAAGAACAAAATTATCAACACCTACTAACAACAACTATGATGTATCTATTTCTGCTTTTTCTGAGCCGAAGGCCCAAGCGAGCTTTTCTGATCAAAATTTGTCCATTGTCTGTCGTTGTCGTCGTCGTTGTTAAATTTTGACAATTTCATCTTCTTCTCAAGAACCACTGGTCCAATTTCAACCAAACATGCTACAAAGTATTCTGGGGTTAAGGGGATTCAAGTTTGTTCAAATAAAGGGTCACACCCTTTTCCAAGGGAAGATAATTATGAATTATTGAAAAATTAATATTTAAAAAATTTTCTTCTCAAGAACCACTGGGTCAGGAAAGATGAAACTCGTGTGGAATCATCCTCAGGTAGTGTAAATTTAAGTTAGTTCAAATCATGACCCTCGGTCAAGGGTGAGGCCACAATGGCCGATCAAAGTTTTACATAGGAATATATAGAAAAAATCTTTTAAAATCTTCTCCTCAAAAACTGTTGGGACAGGAAAGATGAAACTCATGTTGAATCACCCTCAGCTAGTGTACATTTACGTTTGTTCAAACCATGACCCGGGGGGGGGGGGGGAGTAGGGTCGGGCAATATTGCCGATCAAAGTTTCATATAGGAAGATATAGGGAAAATCTTTAAAAATCTTCTTCTCAAGAACCTTTGGGACAGGAAAGATGAAACTCATGTTGAATTATCCTCAGATAGTGTACATTCAAGTTTGTTCAAATTATGGCCCCAAGGGCAAGGGCGGAGCCACAATGGCCGATAAAATCTTTACATAGGAATAAATAGGGAAATCTTTAAAAAATATCTTCTCAATTACTGCAAAGCCATGATAACAGAAAAACTATGTTAAGTCATATTGACATGTAAGCATCCTCATGTATTGAAGATTTAAATTTGTTCAAGTCATGAGTACCTTTTGGGGTAGGGAGGGAAATGAATGGGAGTCAAATTCAAATATAACAAAGTAATATACATGTATACAAACAAAATGTTAAAAAAAAATCTATAAAAATCTTTTTCTCAAGAACTATCTCACAAAGTCATATGCAGAATTGTAATGAAGGCATTCTCAAGAAGTTTTAAAATTCAAGCCCCCCCCCCCCGGTAAACTTTTCAGTTCTGATCTGATTTGTGCGTTTTCCTAGTCAATGTGCTCAGGTGAGCGATGTGGCCCCTGACCCTCTTGTTAATAATGTTTTGAACTATGTGAGCACTATAAAAGACAGAAATCTTTTTTGTTCATCATTTCATCATCAACTAGAGGTACTGTGAGCAATGAGCTCACTAAATGATACCCCCGCCTCCCATATGGTTATAACTGATGAACAAAGTCCATGTTTGTGCTGTGGCCAGGTAACCCAAAATATGTGTTGAATCAAAAAGTAAAATGGGAGTGCACAATTGCAATATGTAATAAAGATTCTGTAAAAGTTTCATCAAATTTCACTCAGTGGTATAAGAGGAGTTGCGGATTAGAGATAGGTACCCCAAAGCGTAACAGACGGAAGGACGGACGGACATACCGATTACAGTATATCCTCCCACTTTTCAAGCGAGGGTATAATGAAATGGACATCTAATGCTACAATAGAGGCATATTTAAACAGTGTTCATTCTTAAGGAAACCTATAATTCATTGTTTATCATTTGAAAAAAACAAATTTGCGATGAAATAGATAAACAAAGCCATTAATTAACGCAAAAGTAGACTTTTCTTTTAAAATCAGGTGAAAGAGGATTTCCTTTCCTGCAGAAATATTTTATATATATCCCAGAGAAACACTTCTTCAAGTTTCTTCGTAAAAATTACTTTTATAGCAACATTGAATATTTAGGTACGCTTGAAAAGTGGGAGGGTATACTGTAATCGGTATGTCCGTCCGTCTGTCTGTTACGCTTTGGGTACCCATCTCTTATCCGCAACTCCTCTCATTACACTGAAGGAAATTTAATGAAACTTTCACAGAATCTTTGTTACATATTGCCATTATGCACTCCTATATTCTGGGTTTCCCGGCCACAGCAAAACATGGATTTTGCCGTTATTACAATACGGGAGGCGGGGGGTATCATTTAGTGAGCCCATTGCTCACAGTACCTCTAGTTTACAAGAGTTTTTGTGTCATATTAGTGCTAAGGGTTACTACAGGCATTTAAAGCTATCAAAATTCCATTTAATTGTTCAAAATTCCTCCCAAAGAATTCTTATATATTCTCTGTTTTTGTCGGTCAAGCTTTCTTTTCTCTTATTCCATTGTGTCTTTTGTTTTCTCTTTTTCTCTTTTTAGATATTTTATTCGATCATTTAAGGTTAATTCTTATCCAAGTATAACTCTTTGTCAATCTGATATTGTTCCTATTTTTATACTCCCTTATTAATTAAGCGTTAAAATTAAAATTCTGTCGGCCTATAGAAAAGTAGGAAAACAAATTCAAACTTTAAAATACCATCAAAATGTGCGATGTCAGAAAACTTAACAACAATAACAAGGGAGAAAACATAATTACTATCATTTTCTTTTCACTTTACTCGTTTTTACTAAGTAAGAGCGTCCAGATATTTTCTGATTCATACAAATATAATGACCACCACAAAATTGCATTGCATCATTACCAAAGAAAAACCGACCACGAAATCGAATCCTTACAAACAAATATTTTTCCTCAAACCTCGAAAATTTGATCCCAAAAGAAAAGTGATTTCAACAGTAACATCATACATGTTTGAACCTTGATCGGGAATATTGGGAGGTCCTGAGTCTGATCCCTGTCCATATGTGCTGTGACAAGGCTAAAACGCTGAACACAAGGAACATTTTGCGACTGTTTCTTATTAAGAGTCCAGCACTTTGAATGGCAGTTGCAGATCTTTGGGATGACATTTTTAATATTCCTCACTGCTGCGAGCGTAAGGAACATTTAAACAAGATCTTAACAGCAGATGACGTTTCTGAATAAGTGAAATTCTCAGTGAAACGTTAAACAACATAACAAAGCATGTATAACTTACGACATAGTGGTATTCCACAGTTTTCCCATCTTTTCTCCTCGTCCGTAGTGTAACACCAAGGGCCCTGTGGTTCTCTGTCAGGGTTTCTGCAGTAATTCCTACTGTTCTTTAGGGTATTGTTATACTTATGCTTATGGGGAAACTGCGAGACCCAGGCTTGACATTCTTTCCCAGACAACGTTTGATCCACGTTTCCAAAATACTCCATACCCAGTGTTGTCATTTTGCACTCCCGCTGTCCTAGTATAGAGCATAGAAAGAAAGTATCGACACCCATTTACAGCCAAAACTGCTTTGATTGAATATCTGCATTTAAATACGGTTTTGTACTATTTTAAATAAGCAATATACATGATAAAAGGGAAAGAAAACTGATTTGATTAATTATCATGAATAAAATGGCCATCTAATGCATCAATAGAAACTTATTTAAATATTATCCCTTCTTCGGAAAGTCCTGTAAAGCCTTGTTTATCATTTAACAGAACATTATTATAATAAATTAATACAGTTATTTTTTATCTCAAAAGTTATAATAAAACATTTTCTTTACCCATAACTTGAAATGCCTCTCTTACGAAAGAAATATTTTATGTCTCAAGAATACATTTTTCATAACAATTACGCCAACAGCAACTCGAATGGATCAAAAGAAAAATGTGATTTCAAAAAGTGTTGTAATATATCATTACTTGGTTATTTCAAGCACTTTAAGCTATCTAAACATTCAATTTTATTTCTAAAATTCTTAAAAATTATTTTCTCTTTTTCGCCGTTTATTGTTAACCAAGCTTTCCGGTTTTCTTATTTCCTCTTTGTCTTTCTCTCTCTCTCTCTCTCTCTCTCTCTCTCTCTCTCTCTTTAGATTATATATTCGTTCCTTTAAGAAAAATCAAATTTAGAACACAGTTATCACTCATTTTCCACTTGATATTGTTCTTTTTTCCATTATACCTGTCACAGAGCAATCGCCCGATTTTAGTTAATTAATTGTGAATGAGTGAGTGATAGGTTGCAGGTGCGCGGCGCAGGCGTTGTAGCCCTGTTTCCCAAGAGTGTAATTTTAGTTAGTTAGAGAGAAAGCGAGTGGACAAGCATGAATTTATAATTTGTTTATTTGTCATTTCTGTTATCGTTGTTTATTGTGCGTGATAGAGTTCTGAGAGATGAAAGTGAGCACTAGATTGATTTGTGTGAGAAAGTGGGCCCTGGGAACCTGAGTGAGAGAGAGAGAAGAACAAGTCTGAAAGTCAACGAGTGTGGACGTGTATTTTGTATTGTGAACATTGTGATTTCTTATAAATATATCTTGTGTTGTAATTATGTAAATAAACGATGTAAATAAAAACAATCGTCATTAATTACCAGTGCCAGTGACAGGGAGGACCCCCGTCACATATTATGGTGGCCAGCGGTCGGATTAGATTATCTTAACTATGTCAACATATACTTTGGAAAATTAACTCTTGGTCAAATACTGTGAAGATGCCACGGAAGAAGAGACAGGAGCCAATTGAGGATGTTATTCCCGAAGCCATGCCTGAAGTTAGACAGTCGTCCAACCTGATAAAGCCTACCCCATTCTATGGGAAACTCGACGAGGACTTTGATTCGTGGATTAAGAACTTCGATCGGATATCCAGAGCTAATTTCTGGACCGAACCAAGAAAATGCATAACGATACCTGCATTCCTCCGAGATCAAGCTGCAGATTATTATGACGACGATGTGAAAGATGACTATCGTTCTGTTTGTGACGCTCTGCGGGAAAGATTTATTCCTAAAGAACTCCAATCACTGTATTATTCCAACTTGTTCGGATACAAACAGGCAGAGATGCAAACCGTAGAAGATTATGCGGCGAACATAACGAAGCTTGCTACACGTGCCTATATGGACATGCCTGGGAGGCAAAAGGAAACCCTCACTAAAGAGCATTTCGTGCAAGGATTGCGGCCCGAAATCAAGAGGTATGTGTTACTTTCTAACCCTAAGACGTTTGAGGAAGCTTTTAGGCATGCGAAGAGGGAAGAGTGTATCAACTTCCTGGCAGATGCCCCGATGGCCAGTGGAAATGTGGCATCTATGTCGAACGCTCCTACGAGAACGGAAGAGCTGGAGAAGTCACTCGCAGACCTGACCGCCAAGGTGTCAGTAATGGCGACTGAAATCGGTAGATTCGCATCTAAACAGCAATTTGTTCCTCCGTCTCGAGGACAAAGCCGTGGAGGAAGCCGAGGAGGAAGAGGCCGAGGATTCGGATTCCGCCCCAGACCGGACCGAAATCTTAGGACGACAGACGGGAGACCAATCTGCAACAAATGTCGTAGAGTAGGACACATAGCAGTCCGTTGTAATGAGCAACAAAAAAGCGCCAATTCGGAAAACTAAAGTCCGCCCTTTTGTGTGGAGGTAAAGGGCTAGAGGATCTAAAATACCCTCCTAGACACAGCCGGTTGCGTAAAAGAGAAGAGGATAATTCTTCCGGAAGTAGTGAAAAAAGTGTTGAAAATGTGAAAAATGTATGTGAAAATATTGTTTCTTGTCAGTTAAATCCTAAATTTTGTACCGCCAAAATTATAGGATATGTGAATGAAAAATGTGCTGCGATGTTGGTCGACACCGGATCTAGTGTCACGATTATAAATGAAGCATTCGCAAACCAGAGTGGTATGGTGCCGGCTGGAGGAGTTAGTGTTACATCGGCAACGGGAAACCGTGTCGATATTGTTGGAAAGTGTGACTTTAGGCTAAGAATTGGTGAACAAACCGATGTTGTATATAATGCATTTGTTGCTCGTGATTTCCCGTATGATTGTATTTTAGGTTTGGACATTTTGAAGGACTGTGCATGCTATATTGATGTTGCAAATGATTCTGTATATATAAATGATGAATGTATCTCATTTATTTCTGATGCAAGTTCGACTAGCGAAAGTGTGCAAGATGCATGTAATTACAAGAACTTGAATGGGATTGAGATAAGTGAGAGTGTTGAGTCTGGTGAGAAAGAGATAGATGATTTCTATGTATCAGGTGATTTAGGTGAAACGGAACGCAAGTCTATTACTCAGGTATTAGATAAGTATAGAAAAGTGTTTGCTTTCAGTGATAATGAATTAGGGAAGACAGATTTAGTTGAACATTCTATAGATACAGGGGACAGTAAACCTATTCACTTGAGGCCTTATAGGATTCCTCACAGCCAGCGGATGTTACTGGAATCCCAGATAGAAACAATGTGCGCTAATGGAATTGTGCGACCGTCTAAGAGTCCGTACTCCGCCCCAATTGTTTTGGTGCCGAAGAAAGATGGCAAAGTTCGCATGTGCATCGATTTTCGTAAAATAAATGAAGTCACCAAAAAGGACGTTTACCCTCTCCCTAGGATCGACGAAATGCTGGATGCACTTAATAAGTCCAAGTACTTCAGTGTCTTAGATTTGTGTTAAGGATACCACCAAGTTCCCATTAAGGAATGTGACAGAGAAAAGACTGCGTTTTCCTTCTTTGGAGGGCATTATGAATATAATTATATGCCATTCGGATTGTGTAACAGTGCGCCAACATTCCAGAGACTTATGGACTCTGTGCTTTCCGGATTACTGTGGAACACGTGTCTTGTGTATATAGATGACGTAATTGTCTTCTCGGAAACTATTTCCGACCATGTCAAAAGACTTGAGGAAGTGCTAAAATTCGAAAATTCGGGATAAAAGCTAAAAGCGAAGAAGTGTTACTTCGGAAAAACGGAGGTCACGTTCCTTGGACACAACGTCTCAGCTGACGGAATATCACCTGACACTGAGAAAGTAAAGTCAATTCACAACTTTCCGAAGCCAACAAATGTGAGCGAACTTAGAAGCTTTCTGGGACTCATCTCTTACTACCGTAAGTTTGTAAAGGATTTTGCAAGTAAGGCTGCTCCCTTACACAAGCTCTTAAGGAAAGGTGTCGAATTCATTTGGGACAATAACTGCGAAAGTGCTTTTGAATTCTTCAAATCAGCTTTGACCAGCTTTCCTATTCTTAGATATCCAGATTTCTCACTTCCGTTTATCCTGTACACGGATGCATGTGACACTGGTATAGGTGCCGTATTAGCCCAAGAAGGCCCAGATAGTGAGCGGACAATAGCGTACGCGAGTAGGAGTCTAAAACCAAATGAACAGAACTATGCAGTTATCGAAAAAGAGGCATTAGCCATTGTGTGGAGTGTGAAATACTTTAGACACTATCTATTCGGCCGGAAATTTACTGTGATAACTGACCACAACCCATTACGGTGGCTTATGGACATTAAGAATCCAGCAGGACGCCTTGCGCGATGGTCATTAACTCTTCAAGAGTATGACATAACCATAAAACATCGACCTGGAAAGGTTCATCAAAACGCAGACGCCTTATCTCGAATTCCTGCCGAATCCCCTATAGCAGCCACCTGTGCTAAGGCAGACGCAGATGTGATACCAAAAAGGTCATATCAGGACATCCGCGACCGTCAGAAAAATGACCCTCTCCTAGCCGCTATCATTAATTACTTAGAGAAGGGAGAGTTGCCTGAATTATCTTCAAAAGCCCGTGAAACGGTTATATTATCTGGTGATTATGAACTCGGACACAATGGTCTGCTATATCATCTTTGGCAGCCTGGATCTCATAGACGACGTCAAGCTATTAGACGCCAAATAGCTGTTCCAAGGAGCCTGATAGATGAAGTCATGTATGCCTGTCACGACGACCTGACAGCAGGACATCTCTCCTTCCAGAAAACGTATGACAAAGTCCAAGAGAGATTTCATTGGAAGGGTATGTATTCAGATGTAGAGTTTTGGTGTAGATCATGCGTAGACTGTGCTACCAAGAAATCACCGAAAAACAGACCAAAGTGCCCATTGAACCCGCTACCGGCAGTTAACGGACCATTCGACAGAGTAGCTGTAGATGTCCTTGGACCATTCCCGCCAACCTACAAGTCCAATAAGTACATTATTGTGTTCAGTGACTACCTGACTCGATGGCCTGAAGTATTTGCCGTAAACAATGCAGATGCAGAAACGACTGCGCGACTTTTTGTAGAGGAAATAGTGTGTCGTCATGGAGCGCCTAGAGAGCTACTATCAGATAATGGTAAGAACTTCAGATCAAACCTGATAAAGGAAATATGCAAATTAACAAATACCAGGAAAACTTTTACTATTGCCTACCACCCGGAGACCAACGGCCTAGTGGAACGCTTCAATGGAACACTCACAACGATGTTGTCGATGTATGTGTCTGGACATCAGCGCGACTGGGATACATTTATACCATACATACTGTTTGCATATAGGACCGCCATTCACGAGTCTACAAAAGAGTCACCCTTCTACCTAATGCATTTGCGAGATCCTGTTCTACCCGTTGAAGCCGCGCTCTGTCCACCAACATTTTCTTACGCTGTAGCAGACGACTATAAGGAAGAGGCAAAAGTCCGTCTTCAAGAGGCCTACACGCTTGTCAAACAAAACTTACAAAAATGTCAACAAAACCAGAAGGAACATCATGACCGCGCAGCGAAAGAGACTCATTATATTAAAGGTGACAAAATATGGTTATTCACGCCAACGACTAAACCTGGACTCTCTCCTAAACTTACTCACAATTGGCACGGACCATACGAGATCATCGAGCGATTATCTAATGTTACCTACAGACTACAGGACTCTGATCACAAATCAAAAACTTTGACAGCGCATGCTAACAGGATGAAGCCGTATCTTGATCCTAATGACCGCCCTGATCACGACTACATCCCGGACGAGGACGTTGAATACGAGGACGAGACGGCCGATGACAACGGTCCCATTGTCAAAGTATTAGATATGATGCAGTCTAGAAACGACTCCAAGCGGTTGGAGAAACGTTATTTTGTACAGTTTCAGAACGGACACACCCAGTGGTTAGGTGAAAATGAAATCAAAGACTTTAGGATTGTACAAGATTTTATACAGTCAAAGAAATAAATAATTGAAGTGTATATACGTAGGTTATGTATATAATGTATTTCAAATTCTGAAATGAACGTTTGTTTTAAAAAAAATGTTAAGATAAAAATCAAAAATTTAAGAAAAAAAAGGTAAAACATGAAATGTGTATGCATGTTAAACTATTTTGTTATTTCTGTGTGTAAGTAAGGTCTTTTTATCTATGAATGTGTGATTCTTGTAAGCGATATCAAATTGTCATTATCAGTCTACTACATGTAATGTTATTAGTGTGTCGGGACGCCACACTTAAGAGGGGAGGTATGTCACAGAGCAATCGCCCGATTTTAGTTAATTAATTGTAAATGAGTGAGTGATAGGTTGCAGGTGCGCGGCGCAGGCGTTGTAGCTCTGTTTCCCAAGAGTGTAATTTTAGTTAGTTAGAGAGAAAGCGAGTGGACAAGCATGAATTTATAATTTGTTTATTTGTCATTTCTGTTATCGTTGTTTATTGTGCGTGATAGAGTTCTGAGAGATGAAAGTGAGCACTAGATTGATTTGTGTGAAAAAGTGGGCCCTGGGAACCTGAGTGAGAGAGAGAGGAGAACAAGTCTGAAAGTCAACGAGTGTGGACGTGTATTTTGTATTGTGAACATTGTGATTTCTTATAAATATATCTTGTGTTGTAATTATGTAAATAAACGATGTAAATAAAAACAATCGTCATTAATTACCAGTGCCAGTGACAGGGAGGACCCCCGTCACATACCCTTAAAAAAAAAGAATTTGGCCTATTGAAAGATCGGGAAAAACATTTCTCCCATCCTTGATCAAATTGTAAATGAGTATAGCCAATATATCTTAAAACATCTACTGTCTTTGCTTGCTGACATGGAAAAAAATTCAAAATGTTTTGTACTTTTTAGAGTTTCGATTTCAAGAAGATAAACCTTTCGTTCTCTTGAAATGTCTGCGAGAAAAACAAAGCATGCAAGTGACCATTTGTCAAAAGAGCAGCAAACGGTAAACTGAAAACATCGCACAATTGAGTGATAAACAATAGCAATGTATCTACATTGAACCACTAATTGCCATTTTGTGACCGTGCTTGCAGTATTTATTTTCAAATATTCAGAATACATGTAATTTATAAGAAAATTATACTTTTAACACAAACTCTAATCTAACTTAACTGAAACCGATAGGTAAGGAAACTGTAATATTGGGTTAATTAAATACCTAACTGAATTATTTTTAGCAGAAATACATAAATAAAACAATAGGGTGATTCATGAGAAATACTTTGAACATATAAAGTTTGACTAAGCTAAGACTTAGCTAAAATTGCTTTAATTATGATACGGTTTAAGAAGTACTTAAGCAGTACTAAGGTAGGTTCTAAGATTGTGTTTAAAACGTATTTACGACTCTATCTAAGTCAAAAACTTAGAAAGCTTTATGTTACGAATCCCAGGGGCTTGAACCATAAAGCTTGCTAAGTTTTTGACTTACATAGTGTCATAAGTATATTTTAGGCACAATTTCAGACCCTGTCTAAGTTTTACTTAAGTATGTCTTAGACCGTAACACAAAATGAACTTCACAAGATCCAAGCAAAGTAAAACATATGTTCAAAATATTTCTTATGAATCACCCTATATTTTTTTTTCATCTCATTCAGATATATTGCTACAAAATGATTTATTTTTTTAATTCAAAGTTTTAATTAAATATTTATAAAAGTTGATGTCCTTACCTATCGGTTTTAGTTATGTAAGATTAGATTTCGTATTAAAGATATCATTCTGTTATAAAATACACAGAATATTTGATGTTAAAAAATACTGATTTCATGGCTAATTAACAATATTATGATTGAAGGCTAATTAACACAATTTAATTTTATCCAAACCTCAAATATTTTTGCTAAACTAGGTTCATGTACCTCTCTCACTCAAGAAAAATTAGATATCTTTCATGATCTACCGACTGGTCACTGGCTCCTGCTGAAAAAGCAGGTACGGGTAACAACATTGTCTTTGTCTGAATTGTATTTTAGAAGTAATTTTAAAATTTCTGGGCGATAAGACACGCTTGAAATGTTTTTTAATATGTTTGTCTTTCTCACCTGTGACGCGGTGACACCCCCTATGCCCGATGTTTTAAACATCTATAAAACTAATTTGATTTAAGGGGGCCGTCTGTGGTTTTATTGTGTGAACACTACAATAGCGAAACTCTTCATTTTTATACCATATATAACTTACATTAACTTCAGCGTACATGCCAAGTTTGGGAAAAATCTACCGTCCAGGTAGTCTTAAGGGACAGGTCTCAAAATACAGGTACATTTACAATAGGATTATATACAGGAAAAAGCCAATTTTTAGCACTTTAAAGCAAATTATACAAATATTACAATAGACTTTTTGTTAAAACTATTATGTATGATGAGTAATACTATATTGTGCATTATATGTAAGATACACAAAATTCTACCGTCTTGTTACCAGAGGGGGCATCTCAAAATGCAAAAAAAAAAATGTACTACAAAATATAACGGGCACAAGAGATTTCTATGAAAGCATAATAAAAATATTGGAGATATTCTTAAATTTTTATGTTTTAAATTTCAAGAGCGTATATTAATTACTTTTTCTTTAATAACATTTTTATTATCCATTTCTTAAGAGCTGCAGTTTAACATAACGTCAAAAACACACAATAACGACGTCAACCTACATATCAATTTCAAAATCGGTTAAAAAATCAGTTCTATAAAATTGTAATTACATTTTGTAAGCCTGTTCTTTCTAAAATTTGTTTAATTTTATTAATCAAGTGAAAATAGTTGCTTTAAAACAATATTAACATTATTAGACAAAAGTTTCAATGTTAATTATATTTATATATGTGCTTGTTTTGGTATATTGTATTTGAAAATATGACACCAAATACAATAGATATGGAGACTGTGACATAATGATTACTTTTGGATCAACCCTCGTATTGGCTTTTAGGGATTTTGACATGAAGTGGTAATTTAAGAAAAAGCTTTATAATAGACATGATGAATTTTCAACTGCTATCAATTTTTCAGTTTGTAGCTTGAAAATTAAGTAACAATATCACTGTATTTTACCTACCCAAGGACAGGTGCCCCATTGAAAGAAACATTATTATCCTGATTATTGTTGCCATATTGAATGATTCTTTTATCCTGTCTTCAGAAAAAACAAGGGTGTTTTTGATGCTTAAACAGAATGCTTGTATATTTAAAGATGTAATTGTAGGGTGTCACATGATCGACTCATGTGGTGAATAAAGAAGAATGTTTGTTGTAACCATTTCAGGAATAGGAAGCGTTATATGATTGCGCTCAGGACAAAAGGGGTCTATTTTTCTCAAACAAAAAGAAGATAAGCGAGCGCAGCGAGTGTTACACGCATATGAGGCGAGCGCAAAAGACCAACGTGTAAGAGCAGAGAAAATTCGGAATGCACTTTGTATATACATGTACGTTAGGCAAATTTTTGTGTAAAACCTTCCCAGAATTCCTAAGCTACCAGGATTCCATGTGATAATGGCGAATGAATACATAAAAAAATAAAAGGCTTTCTGTTTGTAGAAATATTAGAAACAAAAAGAAAATGCTCTACAATATCTTTCGTCAAATTTTGAACAAGCCTAACTAGGTCTATAGTTTCAACAAGACACCGTAAGGTCCGACGAGCTCTGACGAGTTCACTTGACGTCACAGCTAGTAGACATGTATCGAGCCACTTGATGTTTGAAGTAGCTGTTCAATGTTTCAACTGTGTATTTAATGGTATACCTGCGCTTAGCCCAACTATCACAGCGTAAAATATATTAAAATATTAAAGACTGTGACGATGCACTGAGAGTGTTGGTGAGCGTACGGTTTGAAACGTCTAGTTATTATACCCGGCGCTTGAAAAGTGGGAGGGTATATAGTAATCGTTATGTCCGTCCGTCCGTTCGTCTGTTACGCTTTGGGGTACCCATCTCTTATCCGCAACTCCTCTTATACTACTGAGTGAAATTTGATGAAACTTTCACAGAATCTTTATTACATATTGCCATTGTGCACCTCCCATTTTACTATTTTTATTCGACACGTATTTTAGGTTTCCCATAGCAAAACATAGACATTGCCACTATATTCTTACCTATGACGTCACATATGGCGGCTTCTAAATAACATTTGATACGGCGAGTTATTCCTCTTTACACATTACCGTAAAACAATATATAGCAAAACATGGACATTATGGGAGGTGGGGATATCATTTAGTGAGCTCATTGCTCACAGTACCTCTAGTTGTTTATCTCTGAACATTGGAATCTAAATCATTAATAGATTAATTTATTGAAAATATTGGTCATGTAGTATTATAGCAACCACACTCAACTACCGGAAATGAATTTCAAAATTCACTCTTAATTTAAAGTTGTGGTTCTTATTTCTTCCACTTAAAGCTGAACACTAATTAAGAAAACGTCGACTTCATTTTCAATATCACTATCAGCATCAGGGTACACTCTTCGTATTCGATACACCTGATTCCTTTAATATCACTGGCATGGAATGCCGTGGAATAGCTATTTTCTTGCCTTCCCCTTCTTTACATTTTAATGCATTTACGTTTATTTTTGTTTGTTTCTACATTGCACTGACCCGTGCAACTATTTTACATTTCTTTGAAAATTTACTTTCCTGCATTAGAAGAAGTACATATAGGTTCTTTTTTCGTTATCGAGTTCTGTATAGCATACATCCGTCTACATCGGTGACGACTGATTACATTGAACAATGACTAAGACAACCTCTTTATATTGAGGTCCTCAGATATAGCGAGAGTCCGATCGAAAATGTCGGACATATTTCGTATTTAACTTAATAAGTCATTTTTCGAACATGTTAAATATCAGTGATGTTAGCATTTATTTATAGGCACACTATCAAAAACATAACGATGATTGGGTTTTGGATAGAAAAAAATATTTGATTTATTAAGACAACGGTTATCTGCAACGGATCAAAACAATATATTATTATAACCTTTGTGGTCTGATATATTTTGACAGGTCAAACGTAGTAAATTTATATTTAGTATCAAGATGGAATGTGGTTGGTAGCAATTCTTTCATACCAAAAGTACTGTTAATTAACAATGGTAATTTTCATTCTTATGTCGATACGATATATCCTGGTGAGCTTGAGATAAGATACCACAGAGTCTGACACATCTGTTTAATATTAAGATATTTTAGTTCAAGATGACGTTAATGGTAATTTAACAACCAAGCTTTATGAAAAACGGGATGACTTTAACCATCGTCAGCTTCCCTTACTTATGCAGCAATATACCTTCATCAACTGTATAGGAGGTTTACACATCTCAGTTGATTCGATACACAATATCATTCTCTACGTATGAATAATTTCTAAAACAAGGCAAATTATTAAATAACAAGTTCATGAAAAAAGAATACCAGCAGTCTCGTTTAAGGTCATCATTTCGTACGTTTAATGGTCAATACAATGACCTTATCAGCAAGTATAATTTATCATTGAGCTGACTGACGGTTTTTATACGTATTGTTAGTCCATTATTTATACACTGAATTGACGACGGATTTACCGGTAATGACAAGGAGAACACAGCGGGTATGATCAGTAGGCAGGGATGTTCACTCCTCTTTGGCACCTCATCCCACCTCTGATTTTTGGCGTCCGTGTTTGCTCTGCTCCTATTCTGTATTGTTTATGGACTTTTTATTTCGAATACTGTTCCTCATCTCCATATGTTTTTAAACATAAGATTCCAACTTAATCATGTAACTAATTATTCCTTGCATCATAAATTGAATCATCTTTAATTTCTTTTGTAATTTAATTTACTTATTTCACTAAACTAAAATATATATCAAATTTAGGTTATTTGTGAATATTTATGAACATTCAAAGAGTAGTCAATGAAATAGATTTCGTTGTCTAAAACATGTTTTTATCAACAAAGTTTGTTGCACACGAAACAAGTCTACATTTTTGACCATGACCAAATTACTACGATAAAAATCATTTGACTCTATACATTCAATTACTCTGAATTTGATTTTTTTTTTTTTTTTTTTTTTTTTTTTTTTTGAGAAATTTGATATTTTGATAATGCTTGGAACATGACATAAAACAAACATCCTATGTCAGAAAATTCCAAAGTTAAAATCAAGTGCCGCAAATGAGTAAGCATTCCCTGTCGAGCGGTAACGTCTAACCGTAGTAAGGTTGAGAAAAGAATGGGTGGACTTAACGCCCTATTTTGGATCTTTTTGCGACTCCTCGAACAATCTGTAAATGAAGTGAATCCAAAATAAATTATGAGCAATGGAAAGAGCAACATATACTTGGTTATATTAGGAACATTTGTGCAAAAACAATGCCTTGTTGTCGTGTATCAAAATTGAAGCAACAATACATGAGTGTCGTCTTCCGGAATTCGACATGTACCCGGACTGGTTTTTATGTCACACAATCAATATTTATAGGAGGCAGGGCTATCGATCGGTGTCATTGTTGACATCTCTCTCTCTCTATCTAACTGTCTTTCCAAAAATTCGAATACGTGTTTAGCATATTACAGCGATGTCAATATGAAATTATTTTTAAAATGTGATGACACGAAAAATTAAAACAATATTTAATTTGCTAAATTCTGAAAATGGCAATAAAACACGCTCAAAGACATGATTTAGATCGAGGTCAGGTTGAAGAATACAATGTAACTGTTTTCACGAGTACACGCGCAGGTGGTCATCACGTGACGAATTGTAATATTTAACAGGTCAATCGAAGACATTTCAATGGAGGCGAGAAGTTTGTTTTGAACATGTTTTTTGTTAAATTAAGTATGAGCACACTTTTGTCGGCTCTTCTCCTTTTAATATAACATTATTTTGTTCAATATACAACTACAGTTTTCTTAAGAACAGCCGATAAACATGTGCTGACTATGTATTCAGACGATGTAAAACGCGTGACCCTGATTATCTATTGATATTCAAGAAATCTTCAGGCACCATGCTTTCGATATTTATTTAGTTTACCTCGAAAAGGGTGCTTTAAATTCACATCCGTACCAGGAATACACAGTTAAGATATCGGGGGTTTATATGATGGAAAAAAAAATAAACATTTTATGAAACTTAAATTTACAGCATTTTTTCTGGCCAGTTAAGTCCACCCATTCTTTGGTATAGAAACAAAAGCGAAACAACTGTGACGAAAAACAACATCCAAAACGTGACCGAGTGATGGTTTATTACTGCTAATTAGATCATTGAGCGATCAAAAAATTTACAGAAAGCTGAATGTCAACAGGGTCTCTGAAATGCCCTTCTATATCAGTTTAAACGTACAATTGGTCAAATGCAAAAACTAAGAGACATTGTCCTTCAACTTAGTTCTCATATGTATGACATGATAATTGATGTAGGGGTCATTAGAAGGGTAATTTCTTTTTGCATGCAATGTGCCATCGTGTTAAGTTAGAAGGTAGCTAAGTATTAATGTTACTGAACATTAAAGACAGAATTTTACAACTAGATGCTGTCATGAGACAGTAATACCCGCACTAAGGTGTTTGCCTCTAAATGCACACTTCTTCATATTGGGCTTTACCAAGGAAAAAGTCAATATAATTCAATAATTTACATATTACATGTTTTATCAAATTGAGCATAATATGCTCAGGTGACCATGTGACCCATGGGCCTCCATCTAATAAGTATTTCATATCCTTAATTCATCACTAGTCTGAAATAAACAACACAACTAATTAATGATGTAAAGAAGGTTTGATAAAGGGGGGGGGTTATAAATTTTTGGCACATAATTGGAACTTTTTAAATCTATTTCCTCATATCTGTAAATCAACAAATAATATTATTCAAATTAGTGTAAAGAGTTTTTGATGAATTTTTCAAAATGTGCAAAGTTTATTTATATTTGACAAGGCAGTTCTAAACTTCTTGAAATCTGCCATATATACACAATCAATTTAGTCAACCCCCACCCCTCTCCCATCAACACACACACACACACAAACACACCTAATTTGCCTGTTTTTGGAAATAGGCCTAGATGGAAAGTTAAGATAAAACATCTTTCGTAAATTATAATTTTCAATTTGTTCTTGCACTATACATGTATTTGAACACCTGC